TGTACCACATGGCTATTTTAGCTAAAGTTGATCTCGTTCTCCTGTTCCCTTTGACAAACAAACAACGCACGTTGGGGTGGTACCCCGGGCCAACTACCAAAATTTGACCTTGCACTACCGAAATATGAGGGGGGGGGGTAAAATCAAGCAATACTTCTCTATCTTTGTTCGTTTTTTTTCGGTGCTGCGAATTTTTCAAGTCGGCGAAATTTTATGTGTATTCAATATATTTTGTGGCAATGAATTTGATATTTATATTGTCTGCACTTTATCACTAAGTCTGACTAATAGCTGGAATCGAGTGTCACCATATTAATATTACCATATCATTTTATAGATCGCATCTGCAGGCTTTACATAGCGACGAAACATCTTACAAATGTATTCATTGCAACGAAGTTTTGCACAAAGCAAAAGGTGTGATTAACATCGACCAAATTTTGAAGCATTTCCGTCTGCACGACTTAAACCTGTACAAGTGCAGCTACTGCAAATTTTTGCACAACTTGAAGCACAAAGTCGACCGACACGTTTTAGATAAGCACCCAAACAATACACCCTTGGTAATAATCATACGCGAGATGGACCACGAACCCGAAGAGGCCACGCACCACCACCACCACGTCCAGGAGGACGTCAAGGAGGCGAAACCGTGGCGATGCGGCATGTGCAAGTATCGCTGCAGCACGAAAACCGAAATCGTCACTCACGCCCACAACAAACACGAACTGGACACCCAATTCAAATGTGCCTTATGTCAGTATAGGACCAGTACGAAGTCGAATTTCGCCGACCACTTCCAAACGGAGCATCCGGGTCGAAACGTGGACGTCATCGACGCCTATTACGAGGAGGAGGCGATTCCCGCCTTGAAAAACATCGCCGAGCTGAGCATGTTCGACACGACGCCGATATGGCAGCGCGAGAAGACCAAGTTGAAGTACATTCGCGGCATTCCCATCGTGGAGGAGACTAGCAAGCCGTCGAAAAAGTCGCCGCTTAAATTCGATGACAAGGCCGAAATTAAGAAGATCGCGACCACGCCGTCGAAAAAACCGAAAACTCTCAAGGAGAAGAAATTGGAGCTGATTATTAAGGTGGGCGACGTTGAAGTAATCGAAATCGAAGACGACGACGTCCTAGTGATTGACGAAAAGCCGAAGGTCTCCGAAAAGCAGCCGGTCCTCTCCGAGTCCGCTTCCCAATCGGATCAGGACAAGGTGGGCAGTTCCGGATACACGCTTGAGGATCTCATGAGCATGGACATAACGACTTTGAAAAATGCGAACTTGTCGTGCGCCTCTTACGGACCGTTTGGCGTGCCCCGCAATCGACAGTACTTGTGCCCAATTTGTAACTCATTCAAAACCAAAAAAGAAGAAGACATCAAGAACCATCTTTATAAGCATCACGACTATCACAAGTAAGCTCTCAGTGTGACGCGCATGCGCACTCAACGTCAAATTTCAGGTTCGTCTGTACAATTTGTAAACTCACCGGCATCAGTTACAAGTTCCTTAAGAGACACTCGGGACGCAAACATCAGGGACTGCCCGAGGCGATCTACCCTATGACTCCCGCCCCGCTAATCGAGGACTGGGTACGTAAGGTGCTCGCCGTCCAATCTCGCATAATGGAGGAGAACGAGAGCATGGCGACCGTCTCGAGTACGACCGTTCACGACGTGATTAAAACCGAGGACTCGCCGAAGAGGCAGGTCACGACGGAAATAAACGCCGCCGATTCGTCGAGTACGTTGGGTAGATCGAAAGTGATCCAGCAGTGTCAGCATTGTTCGTATAGCTGCAGGGCGGCGAGCGATATGCGCAAGCACGAGCGACGCCATTGGCTGCAGAAACCGTTGAGGTGCGGACATTGCGACTTTGAAGGTAAGTTTTTTCGAAATTTTTTATTTCTCCTTCATTCCTGAGAAAAACAGCTCGTCCGTGATAACTCTTAGAAAGTCTAACCTCGTCTGCTGATAACCCCTCGTACACTACTTAACCAACGTTTCATCTCGATAATGTACCCGTTGTTATCGCTCTTATTTCCTGACCTACTTTCGTTCATGTCTGCTATGCAGCGGTGTATGTGTAAATTTTCCCCAAGTTGTACAAAATACAAATTCGACCAGTCGTTTACCAATCACATCCCTAGAAACTAGTTTGACTATTCTCAAAACTCCAGACCCTTAGAAGAAACCGCCCCTAAAACCACCAACTACCAAATCTAATTAAAATCACGCCTTCCACCAATGTAATTTTTGTATACTGGATGCGCATTGCTATAATTTGATAGAGAAAGCATACAGGGTGATCGTATTATAGGTTTGATAATTTCAAAAATTTTAGTCAGTTTAGATTTGGGCTTTGAATATAAAATTAGGAAGACGTCTAAGCATGTACTTTCGCGTGGGTCTCTAAAAGTACCTTGAGCGATAGATGGAGCCACGAAACGAATGTGAAAAGTACCTTTGGATTTATATGCGCGCTTTCCGAAGGCAGTCACTACTCTTCCTTCTTACGGAGCGTTTTCTCTGTAGGACAAAGACAGGCTGAACTATCCCACTTGCACTCATTGATTTGTTACCGTACTCTTATGTTGATAATAGGCGCGCGTACATAATTGAAAACGCTGCAAATACCAATTTAGACACAGAAAATTTCATAGAACAAAAATTGTAGACAATTAATTTACTATAAAAAAAAGTCCGCGACGGTATATATCTATCTTTAATCGTTTAGCCATACCAACCATTTAAAGTTGTACCTAGTGTCCTCGTTGGTATCAATAATATCTTTGAACGCTTATCATATAACAATCATTTTTATAAGTGTCCTGTGCGTAAACCCCCTAGTTTTTAGGTTATTTAATATTTTTCACAAAACACTAATGAATTACATGTTTATAAACAGGATCGAGTAAGCCGTGATAATAGAAAACAAAAGAACTCCAGTAAGTAAGCGTGTCACAAGTAAATTATCTGCTGCAATTAACGTGCTCCCTTATTTCGTATTAAAATAAGATTAATTAAAAACAAGTTAAAAAGTAATCGTAAACGATTTACATAAAGCGCATTTCCACTTGCATTCATTTCCCATTTGTAATATGCAACTTTTATAAAATCGTAAAAATCCGGCCACAAATATGAAAGATAGCGTTGCACATGGGCAATCCATTTTTGTTGTGCTACTTCAATGTCAGTTTATGAGAAGAATTTCATTTCAATGCTTTTCTAAATAAGAAAGTTGGAACTGCGCATGCGCAAACCTAAATTTTAAAACTAATGTTAGATTTTCCTTTGTCCCAAGCGCCTAAGTATCAAATTTCACTTAAATGGTTCCATAGATAAAAAAGTTGGCACTGCGCATGCGCAAAATAAAATTTTGAAACTGGCCCTAGATTTTCCTTTATTCCAAGTGCCTATGTATCAAATTTCATTCAAATGCTTTTATAAGTAAAAAATGTTGCAATTCGGTTTATAAATGGTCGAGATGCGAAAAGGGCACTGTGAATTTTGAATCGATTCGATTCAACTTTTGGCGTTGCGTATTATATGGCTAAAGCTATGCCCATATTGAATTTCATGCAATTCAGTTCATAACTAACGGAGATGTAAAAACGATCGAACATTTCTAAACAAAGTTATCGTTCACACGGACAGATAGATGGACAGACAGACAAAGGAACAGACGGACAGACCAACAGACAGACGACAGATAGCAATGCAAAATTATAAACGATCTCTAGGATCGTTAATAAACGGCAAAAGTGTAAAATTATGGAACATGTAAAAAACGGTTTTTTGTTTTTTTTTACAATAACTTTTTTTGTAAGCGGTACAGAAAAATTTCCTTCCTTGGTACAAGACTCGACACCATAACGAACCAAATAGCGAAAAAAGTAGAACAATAGCTCTTAAGATAAAAGAAACTAGTAGGTCGCAAAACGAGCGGACGGACGGACGGACGGACAAAGTGGCCACAATAGCGCATTTTTTTTTTATTTTTGTGGAAATGCGCTAAAGAGAATTTCGAACTAGTCTTTTTAAAAAATCTTATTTTACTAGGAAATAATGAGTACCTACACTTGCAGCAAACAATTATTTATGGCCCTTGTTTACTATTTGGCATTCTTTGGTTTTTTATTATCATGGTTTACTCCTGTTTATAAACATTGAATTCGTTAGTGCGTAACTGTTTAGTGAAAAATATTGAATAACCTAAAAACTACTGGGTTTAGGCACATGATATTCCTTCTAAGAATTGAAGAGCGCCAAACAGACCATCGAATAGAGAAACAAAATAGTGGCAGTTCCATTTGAATAAAAATAGTTATAGCACTTTTTGAAATCTAGAAATTTTACAATTTTTTTTGTAAACACCCTGTATTAATAAATTCACCTTTCTCATTACCAAAGTGTTCCCTTTTATTCAGATTAAAATTATTGATCAAATGTATTTCTTAACTTTAAAATCAAAGTCGCTACGATTTATCAAAGTGGGGCTGGTTAGAGAATTATTTGAAACAAATTAATAATTTGTCTTGCAGAGGTAAAAAAATGACATCGAATTAGCTAAAAATAGACAGGCTGTTCCATTTAAAAAAATCAACTGTGTATTGACACCGTAAAGATGAGACACTCTGTACATTCAAAAATAATTTCTGTAGATGCACAACCTTCTATAGTTGACATTTGCACAAAAGATTTTTTGCTATTTTTTTTACCAAATATGAACTAGGAAAGACCGACGCAGTGTTATAGGGCCCTGTATAATTGTTATAAAACGTAAAAAACGAAGAAAGAATGGGAAAATTTCGTCTTTTTTGCATTTAACTTCAAATGAATTTGTTTAGAATTGAATTTTCTATAAGATACAATTGGTAACGTACATTTTCAAAAGCTTTTTTTTTTTTATGGAAATATACAGGGTGTTCCTAAAAGGTCTGTACAACGCGCTACCAGGGGTTCTTGGTATCAAAATAGGACGATTTAACCCAACTTACCTCTATCCAAAAGTGCTTCGGTAAGGCGCTATCTACCGCCAAAGATTTAAAAAAAAAAATCGTTATTTTTATTTTATCGGAAAATGGTTTTGCCGATTAAAATGAAATTCGGGATGTGAATGTCTAATGTAAAAAGGGTCTTTGTGATATCATCGTTTTGATTGTAGTTGCTATGTAGGTGGTAAAATACTGACCATCCACATCTGAAGAGTTCTAAAACTGTTTAACTACTATTTTGACGGTTCTGAATTTTTAGACACTGATAGACAGTTTACTTGTAAGCATTTTTTGTCTCTTGATGAATATCGCTATCTGTGATGGTTTACGGAAAAAAAAAATTTAGGCATGATGAATGGCATGCACCATACATGCGATTGTTCCTCAAAAACCATAAGTGCAAGCAAGAAGACGTCTTTCAACAGCCGCAAACGTTTGATGGTTTGGTACACGACGATTTGGAAACCTGTAAGTATACTCTCTGACGCATTGGCGACCATTTCCACGACAGTATCCAAACACTAATAGCATATCAGTTAACTCTGCGTTACTGTATTGAAAGGCCACATTACAATTTTAACAATGAAATTTTAAGTCTTCAATCAAAACGTAAATTGTTAAAGTTGAAGAAACAACAAACAAACGTTACGCCACTTTAAGGTTTCACAGCCATCTTCTGATTTTTTGAGGAACAATCGCATGTATGGTGCATGCCATTCATCATGCCTAAATTTTTTTTTTCCGTAAACCATCACAGATAGCGATATTCATCAAGAGACAAAAAATGCTTGCAAGTAAACTGTCTATCAGTGTCTAAAACTTCAGAACTGTCAAAATAGTAGTTAAAAAGTTTTAGACCTCTTCAGATGTGGATGGTCAGTATTTTACCACCTACATAGCAACTACAATCAAAACGATGATATCACAAAGACCCTTTTTACATTAGACATTCACATCCCGAATTTCATTTTAATCGGCAAAACCATTTTCCGATAAAATAACAATAACGATTTTTTTTTTAAATCTTTGGCGGTAGATAGCGCCTTACCGAAGCATTTTTGGACAGAGGTAAGTTGGGTTAAATCGTCCTATTTTGATACCAAGAACTCCTGGTAGCGCGTTGTACAGACCTTTTAGGAACACCCTGTATAAAAAAAGTAATCCCCAAAATTAACAATCTGTTACTAAGCAAAATTCATGCTCTCTTTTATATTATCCGTAGCTTGATAACAGAACAATACGGCAAACGATCATCCGATCACCGTAGATATTATAGTCATTGATTAATTAAAAACACAAATTAAAAAAACCATGCTTTGTCTTCCAAAGTGGGGACTCCCAGATTCTCCCCCAATACTTTCCGCTAGTGGAACCCTAAGCAAACCGTTTCCAACAATTGTCCCGATGATTCTTGCAAATCGACGGACTTGCAAATTTTTTTTCAAAATCCGAAGAATTTTAATGGAATAATTTCCCAAATATAACAAGAAATGTAACGCCATAATAGGCGAACAGAAACCTCTCGGAAAATATACATTAAAACAAAATACGTCGAAATCCGTCCGTCAATTTGCAAAAATCATCGAGACAACTTTTGGAAAAGGTTGCTTTGGAGTTCCACCATCTGTACAAAAATTTAGAACTCTATGGGAGTTACCCAATTTGTTTGTTTATTTAATCAATGGCTATGATACCTACGGTAATCGGGTTTGTCGTATTGTTTTGTTGTCAAAACAAGGGACCAAATACGGATTTTCAAAAAGATCGGATGAATTTTACTCAGTAATAACAGATTGTTAATTTTCGGAAATGCGTTTTTTATATTTCTCCATTAAAAACAATAACAATTAAGAATGAACGTTCCATACTAAATGTATGGTCTACATAGACAATTCGATTCTAAACAAATTCACTTGAATACCTCACCGGAAAAAAATGGAAAAGTTCATAAAAAATATCACTTCTCTTCATTTTTCAATAGTTAACGAGATAATTGCAGTCAAATGCGAAAAATAACATTTTCCCATTTTTTTCTTCATTTTTTGTGTATAACAATATATTTCGGGGGTTTCCGGCCAGGGGATTATGATTTTCGGATCCAGCGGATGTTTTTACATAAGAGTACACTTGGTTTTGTTGAGTGAAATGACAAGCAGCTCAACTTTTGATAAATTATAGGGCTTCGCGCCCTTCTGATTGTGTATTATTAGTATGGGTAAAAATAACTGTGTAAAAAATATAGCAAACGAGCTCTTGGGTATGGCTATAGTATGTGCAAAACCAAATTGAACCTGGTGTTAGATTTGCTTTTATTCCAAGTGCATATATATGTATAAAATTTCAAAAATGCCTTCTATAATAGTGGGCGTTTATGGAAGAACACCATAGATATTTTTTATATGTCCCTAAGACAGTTTGCAAGATCGTGTGACAATATCCAAGGACTGTAAAAAATTGTTCACAGCATTTTTTAAATTTTTTATTTCTTGTTTTTTTAGTTTAATAAGCTTAACGTATATTTTTATATTCTTTATGTTTTCGAATAGTTTTTTTTTAATTAACAATACATGAATATTGTTATTGGGGTAACCTATTATGTTAATAAATAAATAAGATAGTTGGCACTGCGCATGCGCAAAACCAAATTTTGCAAATTGCGTTACATTTGCTTTTATTCCAAGTGCATATGTATCAAATGTCATTTAAATACATTTATAAATAAAAAAGTTTGCAATTCGGTTCATAAATGGCGATCTACCAAAAGAGCACTATGAATTTTGAATCGATTAGGCTCAACTTTTGCCATTACGTATATATTGCTAAAGCTATGCCCATATTGAATTTCATACAATTCAGTTCATAACTCACGGAGATGTCAAAAAGGCCTTCCTTATTTTTGGGCTACAGTGCCAATTCACGAACTCTGATCTACAAATTTGATAAAGAATCCACCCAAATTTCATCTTAATCGTCTCATTGGTTTTCGAGATTTCGTGCTAACGGACAGATGGACAGAGACCAAATTATATACTCACAAGGATCTCGATAATAAGTGAATTGCACTAACAATAAAAATAAGAACTTATCATTTTTTTCATTTCCCATTTTCGGCATATTTCCCTTGCGCTTTGAGCAGAATGTCAAAAAAATAACGACAGTTTCAATTTTTACAACGCTTCGATCATCCCAACTGGAACCCCCAAAAGCACCGAAGTTATAACAAAATGCAGGTCAAGGGTTCGAGTCGTATTAAGATGTGCGTACATTTTTTTACAAACGCTGAGAAAACAAAAAGAGATACAAAAAAAGTTATAAAAGATAAATTGTAGAGAATTTAATTTCCTACAAAAAAGTCCGGGATGGCATATATGTATCTTCAACCCTTAATATATGATAAGCAATCAAAGATACTATGAATGTCAACGGAATCAGGATGCGCAACTTTAAATGGTTGATATGGCTAAACGATTAAAAATAGATATATGCCGTCCCGGACTTTTTTGTAGTGCATTTAATTATCTCCAATTTTTGTTCTACAAAATTTTGTGTATCCCAATTGGTATCGGCAGCGTTTTAATTTATATTATACAGGGTGTTTTTTTGGGAGCTTTAGTTAAACGTTTCTGGGAAAGTAAAATGGGTAGGTTTTTGAAAATTTGAACTTAGGAGTTACTCTGAAGGCCGAATCGATGTAAAATATTTTCAAAATGGTCGCCCTTCCGGAAACACCGGAAGTAGATAGTAACTTCGTTATTTTAAATGCAAACCCGCATTTTTTATTGCATTTTTGGATTCTACGTGAAATTTCAATTCTTTTGATACCCATATGTCGATATCTGCGATTTATGGTTTTTAAGTTATTTTGACTTTAAGAAAAAAAATTGCGGATGCAGATGGTACCTTGATAATTGATTACTTGAAAACGGTTGTAGTCATGGCAACCCATTTTTATCAGTGCATAAAGAATGAATAGGGCTTTCATTTAGTGTACTTAAAAAAAAGTTAAGTTGCGTACAACCGCACCTATGGAGATCCAAATTTAAGAAACTTTAAAGTCTATAAACTCAGTTTTTTTAAATGGAACGACCCTGTTCTTATTATTGCATGAGATAGAGAATCGAAATTGGCATATTTTGATATTACATGTTCCTATAGCTATCTTTAACAGTTTCTGATTTATTCCCATTTCATTGAATTGATCTAGAAATTGATGCGATTTGTTTCGCATTTTCTTTTTAGTAGTTGGCCATGATTTTAGAACAATCGAATTTTAAACAAATCAAGGAATGGATTCGTTAATATCATTTATTGTAGCCTAATTAATTCATTAATAAATAAGTTTTTTGTTAAGGATATAGGATGGAAAATTTTTGAAAAATCTATACAGTCGTTCAACTGAATTTCTTAAACAACGTATAAGTCTGGAAATTAAGAGAGGTAATGCGATATCTGTTCTAGCAACAATTCCATACCAAAAATGTTTCAACGAAGTTTTTTATATTTTGCATTGAATATATTTTGTTAATCTTGCATTTGCAATTCAATTCATTCTCTTAAATATTCTGTTGTAGAGCTTTGTATCACTTGTGCTTCAACGGTTTGTAGTGCATTTGGGGGTACAACATTTCCAAAATTGATACAATTTCGTTCCAGTGTTCGAATGAATGTACGGCAACCACGTGTCGCGATTCTGTCCATTTTACGATAAATAACAATTTATTAAATTCCAAAATAGATGAAACCACTCCGAGTCATTTTTCGATTTTTGAAAAACCTATGTTCACCTATAACAGGTAGGTGACGGATTAGTGTCACTAGATTTGTTTAAAATTCGATTGTTTTAAAATCATGGCCGACTACTAAAAAGAAAATTCGAAAAAAATAGTGTCAATTCAATAAAATGGGAATAAGTCAGAAACTGTTAAAGATAGCTATAGGAACATGTAATATCAAAATATGCCAATTTCGATTCTCTATCTCATGCAATAGTAAGAACAGGGTCATTCCATTTTAAAAAACTGAGTTTATAGACTTTAAAGTTTCTTAAATTTGGACCTCCATAGGTGCGGTTGTACGCAACTTAACTTTTTTTTAAGTACATTAAAAGAAAACCCCATTCATTCTCTATACACTGATAAAAATGGGTTGCCTTGACTACAACCGTTTTCAAGTAATCAATTATCAAAGTACCGTCTGCATCCGCCATTTTTTTTCTTAAAATCAAAATAACTTAAAAACCATAAGTGGCAGATATCGACATATGGGTATCAAAAGAGTTGAAATTTCACTTAGAATCCAAAAATGCAATAAAAAATAGGGGTTGCCATTTAAAATAACGAAGTTACTATCTACTTCCGGTGTTTCCGGAAGTGCGGCCATTTTGAAAATATTTTACATCGATTCGGCCTTCAGAGTAACTCCTAAGTTCAAATTTTCAAAAACCTACCTATTTTACTTTCCCAGAAACGTTTAACTAGAGCTCCCAAAAAAACACCCTGTATTATAAATAAATTAATTATAATTAATTATAAGTACCAACAAAAGAATACAGTATTGAAATCTTCAGTGCAAACGCAATTCGTAGCCTAATATTCCCTCTAAAACCGATTAGGTATATTGCCACGGAACCACAAGTTCCCATTTACTTAGACTTCTTTCTAATTTTATATTCAAAGATTTGGTGGAAAATTCGTAATTGTCATTGACGCAGTGACCGGGTCACGTGTTCCGAAAATGGTTGACTCAATTGTTAGGCGCCATTTTGAAAGGGTGTTAATCAATTCAAAAACGATAGGTAGGGATTAATCCGGTGAATGTTTTTGAAGAGAGTCGGACGGACCTTTCGGGTGTAATATGCCTGGTGTCTTTGAATCTATAGGTCACAGTTGCGGATCTAGAAGCGGCTGCCCTGTCAGTTGATGGCGTCTGACTATTCGCGAGTTGTAATTTGCATATTTTTCAGGTGTCACAAACTACGAGATAATCCAACACGCGAAACGTGCACATCCCAACATGGAATCGCTCATCGTAACGATGCCCACTCCGAGTACGCCAACGATTATGCCGATCGCCCGCAAACGCAAGTATCCAAAGAATGAGGGCGCGATAACGAGCAGTAGTGACGAAATCGCGCCTAAAATCACCATACCCGATTCCGACGATTCATTATCGAAAAGCGAAGATGGCGACGCCGAGGCGAAAAAGGGGGTTTTTAACTACCGGTGCGGACGCTGCAACGTCATCGGTCACCTCGACGTTGTTAAGGCGCATTTCAAAGCCGTTCATCCCGATGTATTGTTCTCGGTGTTTCGGTATCAGTGTAAATATTGCAATCGGTACTTTAAAAACATTGATAAGGTTAGGACGCATTATAAGTACAGCCATAATGACTCGGTGGAGACCTGCTTTGACATTAGCGATCCACCATCGGTCCTGAAAGAGTACACTTGCGAGTACTGTCATATTCAATTTAATCAACAGTCCGACTTAATCGCTCATCACAACATGCTGCACTCCCACCTGAGGTTAACCATACCACCGGATCCATCGGCGGAACCGACCACCTCAAAAATCGTTAACGACAAACAATTGTACAAGTGCTCTCAAGAGCTGTGCAATTATTTCTCGAGCACCTACGCCTCGATGAGAGATCACGTTCGTGTTCACGCAAAACCGGTCCAATGCGGCTACTGCCCACAGCGTTTCATCTATCCATCGTACGCGAAAACTCACCTGCGCAAGGACCATCCAGACTTGGAACCTTCCTATCACACTTCGACCACGGGAGCCACGCTATACGCGGAACTGCGAAGCAACATATTAGTCTTAAACGATAAGGGCGAATACCAAAAAATCAAGCTGAGATCGCTCAAGATGAAACTGAAAGAACCGCCGGCTAAAAAGGCGAAATTAGGCGACGTTGCCCCCAAACAAACCGCGCGAAAGTCCACGACGCAAATAATCGTTCCTAAGAAGCCGACCGCCAGAAAATCGACGACGTACATTCCACTTCCCCCGCCTCCACCCTCGCCCCCGCCGCCGCCCGAACCCGGTTTCAGTTACTACGGTAACGCACCCGACATGGCCGACGTCGACAACATAAAAACCGTGCTCATGGTCCAAGACTCGGTCATGCGCATGAATTTTGACCAAGTGAGGAACATATTTGACATCCTACCGACTGTCGAGGTTGAGGACTGCAAATACGGCACGGACGAACTCTGACATTGGCCAACCAACGATAACTTATCGACGTCGAGCGACATTGATAACGACATCTTTCAGGAATTGGAGAGTATTGTGCCCACGATCAGTGGCCTTTACAGTTTGCAAGACCACGAATATTGGTTCTAGTGAACCGGTGATAAATATCAATTGTAGACTGATACTAATGTTAAGACCCTTACTCAAAAGTGATTCTCTGTGTTTTAACTTGAATTGTAAGTACCTACCTTTAGTTTAATTGTTGCATTTAGTATTAGTTTCGTTAAGAGATTGCTGTTCTTTTTCGATTTCCTATTATGTTTCCCTAGCCTTATATTTTTCTACTAGTTATTATTCCAATAAATGCAAACAAAAGAGTTGCGGCGTCTGTTATTTGCAGGTAAGTAACCGTTTCAACTGTCATTTAGTGTAATGTCTTTCAGATATCTCCCTTCTGGAAGTAGTAGAATGGATCAACGGAATGACTGCAATGGAAACATTCCTGTAAGCAGATAGGCAGTTAGTAACAATTAGAATAAAATAAACGTGGTAACCAGAAGAAGAGTACAACATACAGTACAAACTATACATGAAAGTAACAGTTCCAAACAAAAAACAAAAAAGATGGTATAGTTCAAATAAGAAAGAAGCGGAAAATGATAGATGAAAATATAAACAAAAGAAGAAAGAAAGAAATGCCAATAGAATCAGAACAAATTGAAACAATATAGCAACAGAGGAAATAAAAACAAACATGAGTTATTGTAAGAAACAAATTTGACAAGACATAAAGAGCAAATAAGGAAATGAAGAAAAGAATAAGATTGGTTAAGATAAAATAGAAAAGAAAGTCAACAGTTAGTAAACTGAAAAAAAAAAAGAGTAAAACCAAAGACTGCGACAAAAAAGCAGTACATAGATAGACATAGTGAAAAAATGTTGAAAGTTAGTGATGCGCCATTGCTAAACAATGCAGGAATCGATCATTCAGTTTATTATTAAAAATGCATGAAGTTCACTTCTGGAGGTACCTAATGCGTTTGAACGCTTTCCAAAGGAAAATTATCAATAACGATTTTGACATTTTACGTAAAATACACTACGCAGTAAAAGAACTAAATAATACGAATCAAATGCTGAGATCTCGAACGATGTATAAAATAAGGCGCCCAGACGACTGCAAAAATGCATTGAAACGCACAATACAAGTGGAAATAAGTATAATGTCTAAATGTAAGTAAATGCATTGTTATGCCTGACAGTTATGCAACCCACCTTATGCACAAATTTGACAGCAGTGCAAACATAACCGACGGAGTGGTGGTGGCCAGAGTAGGAGACATACCTTTAAATTTTTAAAAACCGTTTGCTATATCAGCCTAATTCTTTGTTATTAATCAGGAAGGACTATCGCAGCAGTTCATTTTTGAAATCAGAAAAAAAATGCTCTAATCAAGTATCAAAAAGTAAAAATGACGTCCATAAGAAAAATCAAAGTTGATGATGGTTAACCGGAGACGAAACATCAAACTTAAAATTTAAAACTAGCGTGCTGTAGAATAATGTGTCATTTATTTTGATATATCTCTTGAAATAACTTTCGGTGAAAAAATAAAAACGATTTTGCAAAATTTCGTTTTCGAATTTTTTTAGGTTCAAAACGGCATTTTGTTAAGCATCAATACGCAACTTTGCCCAAATTAAGCTACCTACCTATCTCTTACAGTTTTTTAAGCAGGATCTCGCCCCCGAGATAGGTAGCAAATTATGGCGGGCCCTCGTTCGGGATTTCCCAGCGTATCGTTGAGAGTCGAGAGCAGTCCCAGCACGAATGCTTATAACTTGGAATTCCCGCTCGAGGGCCAAACGCTACCCGTTCCAGGGGTGGGACCCTGCCAACAAAAACTGCTTTAGATTCTATGCGCGATATGAGTGTCATTCACTAATTTTCACATATCTTGTTGTTAACGTTTGATTTGCTCTCCAAGGCCATGTATAATTTTCCGTGTTCCTTTTAACAAAAAAGATTTTTTGTACCAGGCATGAATACGGTGAAAAGTTCCACCCTGTATATACAACTTACGACAATACATACATTTTTGAGAGTTAGCAACCATGCAATTTCTAGGTGGGAAAAACTGCCTACGCCATGTAAAAAGCACGACGTTTTAGGCATCTTGTATTGAATGGCTTGAATGCTCGTGAACGCGTCGCTCCATTAATGTTTGTTGTTATTTTATGTTTTTTAATGCAGATAGTAATTTTTACTTTCTTTATATTGTATTTGCGTTTTGTATGCCACATTGTATATTTTGTGTGTGTTTGAATCTTTGTTTTTGAAATTTACTTGGTTGAACCGCAATGCATAATCACATATGTGATACCGTTATGCTATTGTTTACGTTTTTGGTGTAATGCTTGCTTAATTTATGTTCATTGATATTAATTACTTGATCATTTTATTTTAATATGTGGAAATTACCGATTCGTTTGATGTATGTATTGACTTGTTGTTTGTAACTAACCATTTTTCTCCGTGAATGAAGCAGTCACGGGGGTGGTAAAAACTGTAGTCAAAATTGAGTTACAACACCTAATTCCATGATTCTCTTCGACTTTCAACTGTAGGCCATATAATTTTCCATCTTGCTTTTAACAAAAGGACTTTATTGCACCAAAGATAAGTCACATTCTGTGTATTTCACTCTTTCTTAGAATCTGGGTACCTGCTTACCTGACCCATAATTCCCAAAACTTGTTTTGAACCTATAATTATGTTACCTCTTAAAGTTTACCTGCTACTTTTTGTGTTGTTATAATTTTATGTTACGCGTTCACATCATTGCAAACAATTAATTTTACAACACAATTTGATATTAATTTGATGGGTGGTTTTTTTTATTGGTAAGTTCTGTTTTTCCCAGCCTATTTCTATTTTTATTCGGTGAACTACCATTTTCAAAGTTTATTTTTGCAATGTAATTTATTTCGACTTAAATTTCCGAACTTTCACAATCTTAATATGAGCAATAATTATTAAACAAATTTTTCATAATTTGAGTATTTTATTTTACGTTCCTTCCCTACTGTGCTTCAGGTCAAAATGTTGTCTACGACTAACGTAGGGGGGTCCTGCCTTAGATGTTTGATCACGTGCTACTTTTCAAATTTAAGCGAGATCTTGTTTAGTTTTGGAGGGAATAGTCATTCGGGTGGCAATTTTTAAACGTTGCCGGGTTGACTTTATTTCCGTGTTCTTGTAGTGTGAAGTTAACGTAGAACCTGGGCGCTAAGTACACTACAACGGCTACCTTGTTTGTTTCTTAAGTTGGCGTAAAGCTTGTGGAGTTTACATTACAAAGTATTCTTTCTGTTGCTCAAAATTTCTTCTTAATTTATCCAAAATGCCTTCTCCCCAATATATCGTCCAAAGTCTAATTAAAGTGCAAACATTTATCGTTTTCAATAACTTTTATCTTTTCGAACGGTTAAATCGCAATTATCTGCAAATCGATTTTGTGAATGACTTTGAATGGATTTTGTGAAATTTGTGTCATTTTCTAGTTGACTGGCCAATGTGCAAGCAAAAAATTACTACGAACAGGATGGTCCATGCGTTTGAATCATAGACCAGTCATTCAAATAAAAATGGGTATGTAGGCAAGACACTATACATTTAAACCGTGATTTATGTAAACAGTACTTCCGAAGCGTAGTCGGATCGTTTGACATTATTTTTGATGATGAGTATCTTTATTACGACACAGCCTATACATAATAATCTACGTGTGTTGGCGCAAATTGCTGGTTGGTAGCCATGTCTTTTCAAGTTGTGGCTCCATCTGTGTTTTGCAGAGAAACTACCCGCACGTCTTCTCTTTCATTTGTGTAAATATGGCGGTTGGAAAGAATAAGGGACTGTCGAAAGGAGGCAAAAAGGGTGTTAAAAAGAAGATGTGAGTAAAAAATCTTTATTAAATCTAACGCAAAATACCATAATCTAAATAGATTTAATTCATCAAAACCACGTACAGTAAGGATGATTGAAAATATTTTGGGTTAATGTTTGTGTCCCCTCATGTTATTTCGAATGATGATAATTACTCAGCTCACTCCGATTTTTAATGAAGATTGATCGTGTCTGACTCGAACTCGTGGCCGCACTTGTCCCTCCCAGCAATTCGCGCGAGACTTAACCGGTCGAATTTGTTTGCAGTGTCGATCCCTTCACCCGCAAGGACTGGTACGATGTCAAGGCGCCGACTATGTTCGCGACCCGCCAGATCGGCAAGACTCTGGTTAACCGCACACAGGGAACGAAGATCGCCTCCGAAGGTCTGAAAAATCGTGTCTTTGAAGTGTCGCTCGCCGACTTACAGAACGACAACGACGCCGAGAGATCATTCCGTAAATTTAAGCTGGTCGCCGAGGACGTACAAGGTTTGTGGAATGGGGGGTTTGTGCGGGTCGGATTAAAAGTGAGTTCGGTTTAGGTAACACCGTCCTTACCAATTTCCACGGTATGGATTTGACCACCGACAAGTTACGTTCCATGGTTAAAAAGTGGCAGACGTTGATCGAGGCGTCGGCCGATGTTAAAACGACTGACAACTATTTACTTAGGGTGTTCTGCATCGGTTTTACGAATAAGGATCAATTGTCCCAGAAGAAAACTTGCTACGCTCAGCATACTCAGGTATGTGGTGTGCTCTTTAGGGGGATTTACGATAATTCATCTGGATTAACCTGCGCTTGGAAGATTGTTACAATTTTTGCAGTGGCTCTGCCTTTATTAAATCATTTTGTACATGTCAACTTCCTTATGTGAATTCTGTCCGTCTGGCGGTTTGAGATCTCGGCACTCAGACTGCGTAGAATTTTATATATAATACGTTTCAACATGTGTGGTGGACAAAAAGCACTTAATTCTACAGTGATTTTCCCTCAGGGTAAGCCACTTCACATTTTGTGTACACTGAGATTCTAAAAAACTCGAGAAAATTCTAAAAATTGTATAAAATAATCATTGTGCGCATGTGCATTCGGAAAAAAATCGAAAAAGAATGTAGAACATGCAAGAAAGTTCTAACAACATTCTACGAGATACTAAAAAATTCTACAGCGATTTTACCTCACTCTTTTTAATCACGTGAAAATTATTTGAAAACATAATTTAATATGCTATTTTTTATGTTAAAATATACAGAGCGTTTTATTTGAAATAATACGTTAGGTCCGATAACCTGACCCATACTTATATTGAAAATAGCACCTTGTATATTTCAATCTAAAAAATAGCATATTATATTCTCTCCAAAATATGACACAATAAATTTAATATTTATTCAAAAATATGTAAATAAAATTCAAAAATCTTTTTTAAATATTTTTGGATTTTATGAACCATTTAAACTTTAATATCACCCATTGTGTGCTATATTTTTGAAAACAAAATTTAATATGCTATTATAAAATTAAGTTATACAGGGTGTTTCATTTAAAGAATTGTTTTCAATTTTTTTAATTTTTTCAATATCTGTGGGATATTTTTGGAAACGGAATTTAATATGCTATCTTTTATATTAAAATATGCAGGACATTCCATTTGAAAATTAGGTTAGTTCCGCTACCTTATTTACCTGACCCTGTATACATATATTAAAAACGGCACCTTGTATACTTTAATCTAAAAAATGATATTATTTTCATTCCTAAATCACGAAAAATAAATCAAAAAATTCAATATGATTCAAAAATATTTTTTGATTTTTTGAACCATTTGAACTTTTTAAATTTTAGCAAACTTTAAACTCACCCTTTGTGTGCTCTATTTTTGAAAACAAAATTTAATATGCTATTATAAAATTAAGATATACAGGATGTTTCATTTAAAGAATTGTTTTCAATTTTCTAAATCTTTTTTCAATATCCCTTTGTGGGATATTTTTGGAAACGGAATTTAATATGCTATTTTTAGATTAAAATATGTGGGGCATTCCATTTGAAACTTAGGTTAGTTCCAGATACCTTATTTACCTGACCCTGTATACACAATATATTAAAAACGGGACCTGGTATATATTTAATCTAAAAAATTATATTATTTTTTCTAAATCACTAAAAATAAATCAAAAAATTCAATGATTCAAAAATAGATTTTTAAAAAATCAAAAATCTTTTTGAAATATTTTTTAAATCATTTGAACTTGTTTAATTTTTTTTAAATTTATTCAATCTTTTGAATATCATCCCGTGTGGTATATTTTTGAAAACGGAATTTAATGTGCTATTATAAAATTATGATATACAGGGTGTTCTATTAAAAAAATTTTAAATCTTAATATTTCTTGTGGGGTATCTGTTTTAAAACAGAATTTAATATACTATTTTTTAAATTAAAATATACAAGGCGTTCCATTTGAAAGATGAGGTTAAGTCTGCTGACTTTTTGCCTGGCCGCGTATACTTATATTGGAAACGCTCTCATATTAAATTCTCTTTCTAAAAATGTATCACAAATAATAAATAAATAAATTCAATGTTTATTCAAAAATATTTTTGGATTTTTTTATGCACTTGAAACTTTTGTGAAAACAGAATTTAATATGCTATTTTTTGTATTAAAATATAGAGGGCGTTCTATTTAAAAATAAGGGTAGGTCCAATAACTTTGCCTCACTTCGTCTTGAAAACGACACCTTGTATATTTTAATAGCATATGTTCTACACTAAAAAATTCAATATTGAGTATATTCGGAAAAAATTCTAGAAAATTCGAGATGAAAAACATTCTTACAAATACAATAAAAATTCTAAAAATTTTAAAATGCCTAAAAAATTCTAGAAAAACAAAAAATCTAAATGCTAGTAGTGTCCACCAAAATTCTGTTTTTTTTTGGTGTAAACCGCTTTTCTAGAAAATTCTGAACATTCCATAAAATAATATTCGCATGTGCATGTGCGTTTGGCAAAAAATATGCGAAAATAGTGAAAAAGTGAAAAAAGTAGTGAAAACCAAAATTCTACAGTGATATTCCCTGGGGTTAAACCACTTTAAATTTTGTGAACACTTAACATTCCAAGGATTCTAAAAAAATTCTAGCCAATTCTAAAAAATTTAAAAAAAATGGAATTCTAAAAAAACTAGTAGTGTCCACCAAAATTCTAGTGATTTTCCCTGGGGGTAAAGCACTTGAAATTTTGTATGAACACTTAACATTCCAAGGATTCTAAAAAAATTGTAGCCAATTCTAAAAAAATTTAAAAAAATCAGTATCTCTCAAGCAAGTTCTAACATCTAAAAAATTTGAGGAAATTTTAAAAATTTGAAAAAACAAACATTCTAAAATATTCGAAAAAATGCTTCGAATTTATTGAACCCTCATATTTGCAATTTTTTGAATTTCCAGTTTCCTTAGTTTGTAAATCTTCGAATATTTTTTTAAAACTCCGAATTCGAATTAATATTACGAATTCTTAATTCTCCTTTTTTTTTTTAAATTTTGCAGGAGTGAATTTTTTCCTCCTTTTTTCCGATTTTACCTGACAATTTTTTTAATTTTCTTTGTTTTTAAATCTTTTGAATATTTTTTTAATGTTCCCCGACCCAAATGAACACAATTTGAATTAAATATGTATTACGAATTCTTCTCTTCTGAAAATTTTTTTTAGTGTTTAGTTTTTTGATTTTTTTATTTTTTGAATTTTTTCTACTCAAGAAATGCAACTTGGAATTTTAGTCTACACCTGCCGATTGTCAAATTTAGTGGATTTTTTAATTTTTTTAATTTTCCGAGTTTAAATCTTTCAAGTTTTTTAAAGGTTTCAAGTAAAATCAAAATTTCAGCTTTGAATCTTTATTGATATGATTTTTCCTGGCGTTCTCAATTTTTTATGGAGATTTCTCACTTAAGGAAAACCTATTTTTTTAATATAAAAAATTTGCTAAACTTGGAAACTGTAGGCACAAAAATTATAAAAAAAAACCAAAAACCAAAATCAAAGAAAATTCGAAAAATAATAAAAAAAATTAGAATTCAAATTAAATAAGCATTTGGCACCAACTTCCAGTATATCCGAAAGTGCGACATTCTCCAAATTTTTGCGATTTTTCTCATTTTTTAGTTTTTTGAATATTACCGATTTTTCCTGACTCAATTGTGCTTAATAATCAGAATTTTACAGATTTTTCATTTTTTTAAATTATTCTTGGAGAGCGAAAAGATCTTATCTTACAAAAATTCATAGTTTTGAATTCTTTTCGAATTTTTGCTCATTTTTTGTTACTTTTTAAATTTTTTCCAAATATTCCGGGTCGAAATTATAGTCTTAATTCTATTTTTTGAATCGAAGTTTGCCAATTTTTTAACTGAATTTTTCCCACTCAAAAGGAAAGCAAAATAAATAATTTTTTATATTTTTCGAATTTAAAAAAATAATTCGCTTGTAACGAATGTGGCAATCGATCTCATTTTAGAAGGGAAAACATACAGTTATTTATTTTTTTTTGTTTTAACTTAGCAGATTTTTTTTATTTTTCAGATTTAAAAAAAATTGTGATTTTTGGGAAGAGTGGGGAGATCGCTCTTAAATATCTTATAAAAGTTTTTCTGAGAGGAGATTACGAACATTTTTAAAAAATACAAAAATAACACGTTCACAAAGTGGGCACACTTCCTAGAGTCAGAAATATCTATACACAATTGAGAATGCCAGGAAAAATCAGAAAAATTCATAACAATTTAAAAAAGAGAGAGACCATAATATTCAAAAGCAGAAAAAGTTCAAAAAGTCGGGAAAAATTAGTAACTAGGAACAATTTAAAAAAATTGGAAAATTCTCAAACCTCATGCAAAAATTCAAAAAAGAAGTAATTAAGAAATATTCGAGAGATAACAGGAATATTTGCAAAAATTCCAAAAATAAAAATCCAGAAAAATTTAAATTTGCTGGGTCTTCAAATTTTTGTAGAGCAAGATTGATCTCGCTCCCCAGGAAAAATTCAAAAAATTAAAAATTGGAGCATTGGGGTTCCATGTGACCAAAACTAAAGATATGCAAAAAATCTTCTCTTCCCATACCATTTACCCATACCAAATTTCATTTTGATACACCTAATAGTATAGAAGTTGAGTTTCTAGTAGATTCGTTGAGACACCCTGTATAACTCCAATGGCCAGGTTAATCCAGTTGTATTATCATTTTTAATTGAATCTTAAATGATGATAACACCCAGCTCGCTTTGATACACATATGAAGATAGCTATATATAGTTCTCTGACCAATGTGCGCTTTTCCACAAGGTAACTCTTGACCGATACATTGTGCTAACATACCTGTTTTTTTTTAGGTTCGTCAAATTAGGAAGAAGATGATTGAGATCATCACCCGCGATATTACCGGAAGTGAATTGAAGGAGGTCGTCAACAAGTTGTTGCCAGATTCTATCGCTAAGGATATTGAAAAGGCGTGTCAGGGAATTTATCCGTTACACGACGTTTACATTCGCAAGGTGAAAGTATTGAAGAAGCCCAGGTTTGAATTGTCAAAGCTGCTCGAGTTACACGGCGAGGGAGGCAAGACGTCGTCTTCTGAACCGGCGGAAGTTGGAAGTAAAGTAGATCGACCTGAAGGTTATGAACCACCTGTACAGGAGTCCGTGTAATTTATAGAACTAATAAAATATTTCTATGTTTTTTCGATTTATTTTAATACTTTGTTTAGCGAGTGGACTAAAGTAGACGCTGGGTTGGTCGAGACTACCAAGCATCTTTTGGCTGTGTCTACATAAAGTCCGACTGTACACCTATTACCACAGATAACATGTCTGCGCTGTTAAGAATACTATTGGTCGCTGTTGAATCTGATTTTTGCAAGGACGTTAATACCCGGAAGCGGCATTGTGCCACAGCGAACATCCCATGCATTGTTTCTAAAATTGCCTCGATTTAACCTCAATGCAGAAGTCACGTGTTTGATACCGTTCCGGCAACAAAAATATGGCACGCTCTGTATACACCCATCGTCCTACGTTTTCGATTTTGACCGAAGCTGTGGAGAAAGTTAGCGTGGATGAACGGTATTCGAATCCCAGGGGGGGTTAAGCCCAACAAATAAGGAATAACAATTTTCAAATCTACTGATCTTTAGGGATTTGCACCCAACACTGAAATATGAAATAATAATTTCGTTCAGTCGAATTTTTATTCCTTATTTCATATTGCGAACCAATGACAATAGAAGTATTCTATATTCATTATTTTACCTTGTTATTGTTAACATAGTCTGTTGCTATTTGTTTGTTGTGTTTTGCGTGTTACGACGTCACTATTTCATATTTCCTATTCCTTATGTTTTTCATTGTGTGATGGGCTTTACAGTTATGGCGGATATCTCATTAGTGATGTATCGTAGTGTGACACATTACATATAACAATGGGGTCATCCCGCCTTGATTTTTTATTTCTGATCCACAAAGTACATTAAAAATAAAAAGACCCGTTGTGATGTTGAACCCCTACCGATAGGCAACACATCTTACAACTAAAGGAATTTTAGAATCCCGTTTTGCGCAGACGTGAATTTAGTACAAAAAGCTGGAGAGTGGCGTCGGCGGGAGCACTGGTGGTCCAGATTTTGATGGTGGAGTAGCGGTTTTGTGTGCTTTTCAAAGTTTAGTTAGTGTTTGATATATTTTTTCCAAGCGATATCAAGGTAGTACTCGTTTTATTTAAGCTATTTTAAATTCGATGTTTAAATTTCATGCCTTATTTGTTTTCGTTTTGACTTTTTCTTTAGATTTGACCTCTGCTGATTGCAGGCATGGCGTGGGCGGCTATTGTTTGAGTTTAGCGTTAAATGAGTCATGTTTTAGCTGGGCTCCTTGTGCGCCTGATTATGCCGCAATGTTTCCCATGATTATTTGAATGTGTTTACGCGGGAGTGGATTGCTAGAATGTTACTGCCCTGAATGTTTGGATTAATAATTTATTTCCGTGGAAGAGAAGAACCACATGCAGTTTGCTCTGTCGCTGTATAATATATGTTTATTTTTTTCTTCTCGCGCAGGCTGCAGTTCTTAGCGTCTCGCATTAGCGAGAAAGGGGGGCCCTCTGATTAATTTCTCTTCTGTTTAAAATGTGGATTTTTGTATGTGGTGTGGTCTGCTTCCGCTTGAATACCCGTGTTGGCATTCTCAGGTGCACTTGCACTTGTTACGTAATAAATGAATGATAAGCAAGGTCGGGACAAGGTCATGCCTGCTCTACGTGGTTTAAAATGAACTCTTGATGTTTTTTTTTCAGGTAGTGTTTTTATACCCCAATGATTTATTTTGTTCACAATTTGTAATTATGTCAAGTGTATCTATCGTTTTTGATTAATTTGTTCAAGCCACATTTGCCTTTATTACTTGATTTTTGTTGTACGATTTGAGATGTTTGATTTTCGTATTTCTGTTTGTACATTGCTACCTGTAATTGATTTATTTCTTGTATTTGTGTTTAGCCAGGTTTTTTTTATTGCTGGTTCTTTTTTCCTGGCTTTTCGGTTTGGATTTGCTCTGCTGAACCAAGCCCCGTGCGTAATAAATTTCATTTTCTCTTTCCCTTTCGGACGCACAAAAATTCTGTCTTTTATTTAATTCCCTTCCCGATTGTGTCTCACGTACAAACGCATAAAAGACCGCCATAGGAAAATGACAACGTAGGAGTCAATTCGTACAAATTCGTCCAAGTCGAATATTACCGAGATCTGAATGGCGCGAACTTCCGACATTTTGACAGCTAAAGTTAGATGGCGCTGTCTGCGATTTGTTTCCCCAGAGTTGCCAACTGTAAGTACAGGGCAAGTCAATATTTCCAGCACCTCCTGAGGACCCCTAGGAACATTACACCGTGTGTCCTCAATTTTTATTTGCGAGTAAAATAAACCCAAAACAAATTATTGAAAAGCTGTGTTTTTAGTCCGAATTTGAAACGCTTCAGACTAAAAACGTCACAAACCTACAACCAATCACGTAGAAGTGAGCTGGCAACCTTACGCGAGGGTCTGACGTTTGTCACATTTGACGTTTTGAGAGGGATGTTTAACTGCATCTAGCACGAAAGTGACAAGTGCCTGTGACAGATGACGCAAGTTATAAATGCCATTCTCCTACAATATTGCCAAGTCGTTATGTCATCTGAATGGTTCTAGGAGGTGATTGGTCGGGCTTATTACGTCACAGACCCGCCATAATCATATCGTTTTGAATAAACCTTTAAAACCGCACATGTTCATTATTTTTTTGCTAATCAGCCTCTATTTTTAAATAAACTTTTACTGTCCAAAAAAATGTTTTATGGTTTCAGGTACACGCTTACTAAATTAGAACTGCGGAATTCAACTATACTGTAAACCCCCATTGTGTTTGTTTTCCTCAATTTTGTGGATGCAATAATAAAGCTGCATTCACAACCTCCAATTTTTGTTTATAATTAATGAGTGAAATTATTTCGTTAACTTTACGCAAAGCAATCATTCGCAATGCCTGAAATTAATACGTGAAATTAATGTGTAAGCAGTGTCGCCACCTATGTACCGGCGAGGCAATTGGTTAATTGTTTATACAACAACTTTCAACATAACCCTGTAGCGCAAGCACAAGAATCAGTGTTTATATTAATAAGTCTCTTTTAACTATAACTAGCCTTATCCTAAAGTGGCAAGATACTTTTTTCTGTTCGCCACATTCATTGTATATGTAAACAAAATCAAAACAAACAAAACATGGTTATGTCGGCTGTCATATAAAAGCACGCATGCGTACCTCTGTTCATTTCCGTAAAATTAAGCGACAACGTTTGCAGTTTCTGCGTTAAGTATTAATTTCGACGATTAATTTTCTATATTGTGAATGTTACCCTTAAAATACATAGCTTTAAACATTTACGTTAATTTTCGATTGTTAATTGTAGGTATTAATTTTGAGTTTGTGAATGCTACTTAAGAATGAACTGACCATACCTCCTTATCGATTATCGTCACAGAAAGGTCTTATTCTGTGATTATCGTTTACTTTTTAAACAAATGAAATTTCAGTGACAATAGTTTGAGAACTGCTGGTACTTGTGGCAACACTTGTGAGATTGGTCACATAACCCCAAAATGTTCTTGAAAAAACATCTAACTTCATTGAGTCAGCTTTGAGTATCTACTGCAAATGGTAAATCCTATGTTTGTGGTCCTAGGATTTAGAAATAATTATTTTATAGATACCCATGGATATCAACATTCAATTTGTTAAAATTGAACCAACACAAGAAGAAGAAATAAATTTGTCCCTCGAAAGAAACATTTTTGTAAGCAATGATCTTGTGAAGACCATAAAAGAAGAATATAATGAGGTTGCGATTACTGCAGAATATTGTAGCCAAGAGTGCAAGAGGGAAGAACGGCATTTGTCAAGTATTAAATCTGAAACTGTGAACTTTAAATGTAAGGTTTGTGGTTACACGACGACTAATGAACTAAATTTTAAATTTCACCTATTGACACACATTTTTAAATGTGCAAAGTGTGATTATGTAACAAATGTTAGAAATCATTTACAGGCACATCTCTTAAAGCACAAAACGTTTAAAGATTTTAAGTGTGCAAATTGTAACTATGCAACAAATGCTAAGACAAATTTGAGGCAACACTTGCTAACACACAAAGCTTCAGAAGTTTTTAAATGTGACGTTTGCCATCACACCACAAAATATAAATACCATCTTAAACAGCATCTCGAAACACACAATGATTCGGAAGATTTTAAATGTGACATGTGTCATTACGCAACAAATACTAAGCAAAAATTAAGACGTCATTTCTTAAAACACAAAGTTTTTAAATGTGACGTATGTGATTATTCCACACATCAAAAAACAAATTTTAACCGACATGTCTCATTACACAGTATTTCGAAAGAATGTGATCCTGGTGTTTATGTAGCAGTTATAAAACAAAATTTTCAAAAGATTCTAAACAGGGCTGGAAAAATAATTTAAAGAAAATGAACAATCAACGATTTTTTTAAATAAAGAATTTCTTTAATAACTTTTTAACACTGATAACCACAAATACTGAATTGCACTTCTAATTCTAATTTGTAATGCTAATCCATTAGAATGGCAACTTTGGGACACAAGCTTCTGAAGCTTAAAATGCTCTGGCCTCGCGCCGAGGCATTTTTACAAAAATATTTATCATGTATCATTTGAGATTAGGTATAGATTAATATATGACTCATTTAAAGTGGTTTTATTTCAATACATTACTTAGATGAAAGGTAAATGGAACGCTGCAATGTGTGAAATCCCGGAATTTGGGTGGTTTATATTAATATTTTAAAAGCTAAGTCTTATTCATCACACAGATAATGCAACTCATATCGTACATAGATTCAAAAACCGATGATTTTTTTTGTTGGCAGAGTTTCGCCTCGGGGATGGACGACTTGTCCCTCGTTCGGGAAATGCAAGCCTAAAAGTTGAGGTTCTTACGACAGTGTATCTCGCATATTCTCTTGTGGCGGCGATAGTAAGTATTCTCGTGTAAAAGAGAGAGAAGGACTGTCTGAAGTTGGTAACAATTAACATTTTTATTTGTCTAATACCAACCTCAAAAAATTAGTGATTTATTTTTAAATACCAAATACTTATTTGAGGTAAGTCATATTTTTTATAGGATCTTGGCTTATTGTACCATGGATCTATTTATATATAATATATTATATAATAATATATAATATTTTATATAATAATATATAATATATTATATAATAATATATAATTATATATAATATACATATATTTGTTTAGAATTTTTGTCTTAGAATTATTATTTGGATGAGTGTAAGTGCAATTTATGCATGTTGACACAATAAAATATTATTATTATCTAAACATGGTCGTTGTTATAGATATGGATGACAATATTGCACTAGTTAAAATTGAACCAAAACAAGAAGAAGAAATAAATTTGTCATTTGAAAGCAACATTCTTGTAAGCAATGATTTTTTGGAAACTATAAAAGAAGAACATAGTGAGATAACAGAAAGGGCAGGCAATAGTAGCCAGGATGAAGTGCAACCACAAGACCATTCGTCAAGTACTAAATCTCATACTGTAGAGCTTAAATGTACGGTTTGTGATTACACGACGGGTAGTGGCCCAAGTTTTAAAATGCACCCTTTGATGCATGGGGATACTAACAATTTTAAATGTGCAAGCTGTGATTATATAACAAAGACAAAGTACAAATTAACCCGACATCTCTTAATACACAATAACTTAAAAGATATTAAATGTGATATTTGTGATTATGCAACGCATACGAAGTACATTTTGAAGCAACATCTCCTAATACACACTGGTTCAAAAGATTTTAAATGTGATATTTGCAATTTCGCAACACATAAGAAGATCATTTTGAAGCAGCATCTTTTAATACATGGCGGTTCAAAAGACTTTAAATGTGCTATTTGTGGTTTTGCAACAGAGAAGAAGAGCAATTTAAAGCAACATCTTTTAATACACGACGGTGCAAAAGATTTTAAATGTGATCTCTGCGATTATGCAACGTGCAAGAAGAACAATTTGAAGCGACATCTCTTATTACACAATGATTCAAAAGATATTAAATGTGATATTTGCGATTATGCAACATATACGAAGCACAATCTGAAGCGACATCTCGTAATACACAGTGATTCAAATGATATTAAATGTGATGTTTGCGATTTAGCAACAAATACTAAGCGCGCTTTAAAACAACATCTCTTAAAACATGGCGGATCTAAACATTTTAAATGTAACGTTTGTGATTACCGAACAAAAACCAAGAGCCATTTAAAACGACATGCTTTAAGACACAACACTTCTCTTACTTGTAATTGAGCAACAAATTCTTCATTTGTTTCGGTAGAGTGAGTGTTTCCATCGGTTTCACTGGGTCATTCCGGATTGAAAAGCAGATTGTGGTGTTTTTCCACCATCTTATTGTAATAATTATTCATGACTGCTGAATATTTATATGATATGTGAATACTATTGTGTGATAAATCTTGAAACTCTTACGATGTAATTACAATGAGAGTGGTTATGTGACCAAAATTTTTCGCCCATGTAACCTTGGTGTGAATGTCGGGCTCCCTTAAATAACGGCCTTAATAGTACATTCATCACAATTTTAAATATCGGTGTAAAGTCAAGATTATGAAGGAAATAAGATTCCTCGATGTTGCCTTACAGGTTGAGAACTATTATAATGTAAAATTGTAAAACGCATGAGATGCCCCAACCTTAGCAACGTCCTGTGAAAATGATTGTCGATACGAAGCACCCTATACATCATGTTAGTTACACAAGCTGCCAACCGAAATCTGGTGGGATTACAGAAAAGGGAAAGAGAGCGAAGATGAGACGCAGATCAAATTGGGGTGGTCAATAAATAGGATTTAACATGTGTGTTCATGGTCTTATACTTGTAACCGGCTTAAGCGTAAAGAACGGCTTATCTTGAAATATTTTGTTATATCTTAATCATTGCTGTGTGCTTTTGCTTTTTATATCAAGTGAGGTATTTGCTTTATTCAATTAATCTATAAATGTGTGTAACCTGAATGCAGATTGTAACCCTCTACTTATGTACTTACTGGATTCAATCACTTGTACCTTTTAATGTGTAACCTTTCTTGGTATTGGCAATCATGTTTCATTGTCGGTAGGGCTGTACATATTTGTATGTGTACATATTTGTGTATTGTGCTTTTTAGTCACTCTCGATTATTTCATTGCATTTCATTATATTTGCTTATTTGGGGCTGTGAGTAATTAAGAGGGAAGTGTGTTTGTTTAGAGGAAATCGAGCTATTCAAGTTTATACGGGCCTTGGTGAACCTAACACTAACATTTTCACTCGTTCCGAACCCAACAACTTTAGCCCACGTCTTCAGGCACCCCACTGGGCCTGGGTAATCCTCCCGCCCGGCGAGGTATATTTAACATCTCTTAGTTTTATCTGATGTATGTGTTGTAATATATGTAGATCATTACAACCTGGGGAATGGCTCGATTCCATTTTGGTTACTCATAGCGTGTTTGTTGTAGTTAACCCGGTTTCGAGGGGGCTCAAAAGTGCTGTACATCGGATGTTGTTCATTATATAGGTCTACTCCGAATTAGGTTTTCCTGCAGTTTTCCTAATTCGTAAGGTAAATGCCGGAGTAGTATAGAACCACTTAAGAAGTTAATACCCTCTGCAGGGGCACCGTATTGGTATTAGCATCAATATAATCTTAATCAGCTATTGCTTTTGGTGTTCCTTACCTATAGAACGCTCTCAGTGCCTGCTGAGAACCCAGTTATTACACAACGTAGGTGTCCTACATGACGATCACGATCTTAGTGCACTTGGAGTGGCCCCCGAGTGACAGATTCTTGCGGGAAACTTAAGCGAGAATATTCAAATAGGCAGCCATGTTAGTTTGGCATTTCCGCTACTACAGAACATGGTCAAATATTCTGGTGTGACTTGAAGTTGGCATTAGCCCGCCAAAATAGGAGGAGGCTAAGATCATTACAATCGTAAACGTAAGATTCGTTAAATTATTAAATATAGAAACCGCAGTTGCCAAGTGGGAATCGGCCTTTAGTTTCAGCGCTTGACATGCGCAGTGTATGGATCGGTTTGGATGATTTAGGGCAGGCAGACGTCTTGTGGCATCTTGCGATCTGTGTTTTTTTAAAACCTTTCGAGATTTATTTGTGCATGGATTGGTCCTTCTGAACTGTAAGTCATATTCAAGTTCAATTGTTGTTTTAAAAGAACATCTAACCTCATTGAGGCAGAAGACAAAAGAACTGCAAATACAATAGTCCAACTGCCATTGGATTGTTGGAGGTAAATCCCAAGTTTGTGTTCACAGAGTTTAGAAATAATTACTATTTTGTAGATACCCATGGATTACAACATTGCATTTGTTAAAATTGAACCAAAACAAGAAGAAGAAATAAATTTCTCCCTCGAAAGAAACATTTTTGTAAGCAATGATCTTGCGGAGACCATGAAACAAGAATATAGTGAGACTTCGACTACTGCAGAATATTGCAGCCAGGAGTACAATGGGAAAGATGTTCAGAAACAAGGTCATTTGTCTACTATTAAATCTGAAACTGTAAAGTCTAAATGCATGACGAATAATGAACAAAATGTACACTTTTTGTCGGACATCTTTAAATGTCCAAATTGTGATTATGCAACAAATGTTAAACAGTATTTACAAGCACATCTCTTAAAGCACAAAACGTTTAAAGAGTTTAAGTGTGCAAATTGTAATTATGCAACAAATACCAAGAAGAATTTGAGGCAACATTTGCTAGCACACAGCGCTTCCAAAGTTTTTAAATGTGACGTTTGTAATTATGCCTCAAACGTTGAAAGCCGTTTGAAGTCACATCTTTTAACACACAGCGAATCAAAAGACTTTAAATGTGACATTTGTGATTTTGCAACAAATACAACGTATAACTTGAAGCAACATATCGTATTACATAGTAATTCAAAAGGTTTTAAATGTGATAGTTGTGATTATGCAACGAATGCCAAGCACAAATTGAGGCATCATTTCTTAAAACACATTGTTTCAAAATCTTTTAAATGTGACATTTGTGATTATGCCACAAACATTAAGAGCTGTTTAAAGTCGCATCTCTTAAAACATAGTGATTCGAAAGATTTGAAATGTGACATTTGTGATTACGGAACAAATACAAGGCACAATTTGAAGCAACATTTCTTTCTAAAGCACAAGGTCTCGGTCTCAGAAGTGTTTAAATGTGACGTTTGCGATTATGCTACCAATATTAAAAGCCGTTTTAAGACACATCGCTTAACACACAATGATACGAAAGAGTTTAAATGTAATATTTGTGATTATGTAACAAACGTTAAAGTGTATTTAAAAAGACATTTATTAAGGCACTACAAGTATTGAAAGGTTTTAAATGTGCAAATTGCAATTATCTAACCAAAAAAAACAACATCTAATTTTACACAAAGCTTTTAAATGTTTTAAATGTGACGTTTGTGATTATGCCACAAAACAGAAACATAATTTTAAACAACATCTCGTCTTTCGAAAGAATTTAAATGTGATGCTGGTGATTATGCAACGGTTATAAAACAAAATTTTCAGAAGAATAAAAAGGACTGGACAAATTTATTAATTGTTTATGTAGGTATTACAAAAATAATTTGTTTTATGTTGTATCATTAGATAAATATATGACTTTCATTTAACGTGGTTTATTTATTATCATAAATATGCCTCAAAAATGTAGCGGTACAAAAATAATTTGTTTTATGTTGTATCATTAGATAAATATATGACTTTCATTTAACGTGGTTTATTTATTATCATAAATATGCCTCAAAAATGTAGCGGTGAAGCCACGAATCACTATGAGAAAAATACGACACGCTCTGTATACAGTAATCTGAAAAACCTCCCACTTTGATCGTTGTGCGCAGATGTCGGAATGGGAGATGAAGCTGGAAAGAAAAGTCGACGTGATCAGCCTATGATTAATAATATACAAAGTGTTTCATATAAAAATTCGAATTTTTGTTATTAACAATATAAATAATAACATCTAAGCCACGGCTCCCTTACGTTAGTTGTAAACAACGCTATGTGGGAAGAAACGTAAAATAAAACACTGAAATATCATATATCGCACAGATTCTAAACCGAAGAGTTTTTATTATCAGAATCTTGCCCCCAAGACATGTAACTCGTCCCTCGTTTGAGATTTCGCGTCTACAGCTGAATGTCGAACACAATCGCGGAATTAAGTGTCGTAACTCATTTGATTACAGTTTTTGCCACCCCTGTGACTACTTCATTCACGGAGAAAATGTTAGTTTACAAACAACAAGTAGGGACATACATTAAACGAATCGGTAATTAATTAAAAATGATCAAAATTTAAATGAATATTACTTGTTGCCAAGACCATGTAATCAAAACAAAAACATAAATCAAGCAAACATTACACCAAAAACGTAAATAAAAGATTAACGGTATCAAATGTGTGATTCCGGGTTACGATTAAATCAAGACAAGTTTCAACAACAAAGATTTAAACTCACAAAAAACATAAAATGCTACCTACGAGTACAAAACAAATACGATATAAAGAAATGCCAACAAAATAACAACAAATAATTACGGAGCGCCATTAAAAACAAGATGCCAAACGTAACCAACGTTCGTGCTCTCCAGATGGCGCAGACAGCCTTTCCCATTCTAAAAATTGCGTGGTTGCCAACTCTCAAAATTGTGTGCATCGTCGTAAGTTGCATATACAGGGTGGAACCTCTTAAGCTGCGATAAATAACATAAAAAACAACAAAATTGAACTACAGGACACCTTTTCGGCTAACCATTGATGTGTCATTATGGTATGATCGCAGACTCTGGCGCTACCAGGCGAATTGGTTTTTTACGGTCCTTAATTTTCATGGAACCGTATTGTGGAGATATCACAGCATCGGGTCGCTTTTACTTGCAGGCTTTCCGGAAAAGTATTCTCCATTGATTATGGCCATCGAGCATAGTGGTATCAAAACTACCGCTGATTCCATTAAAACAAAGCGAGTTCGAGACCAGAGATGGCAGCGGTAGTGCTTTTTCGGGAAAATTTTGCAGGAAAATGTCAAAGAAAAAGTGCGAAACGTTAGCTAATAATGGCAACAGTGCAGGTGGTGCGAAAAAGGACATTGTGTTTCGGATGTCAACAGGTAGGACATTACAAATCGAACTGTCCGAAAAAGCGGGAAAAAGTACAAGTGTTAGCGAAAATTACTTAATGTAAATTATGTCGCCTTCATATGTTTGTAATTTAGGGTAAAGTGATTCTTGAATTTGGGTGTTATTTGCTTGCAATGTAAAGGTTATTCCAATTTTGATTTGTTTGATAGGGGCCAGTTATAAATTTTCATTTAATTGTTTTAACTTTGGATTGATTAGCGACTGAGATACCCCAACCTTAACAACATCCTGTGAATATGATTCTCGATACGAAACACCCTATACATAATGTAAGTTACATAAGCTGCCAACCGAAATCTGGTGGGATTACAGAAAAGGGAAAGAGAGCGAACATGAGACGGATGGAATTACGCGGAAGACCACATGTGTTTACCATTTCAAACACCTGCAGTCCAGTTATTTCTAGAAATGCGTGAAATGCAGGGAATAGGCGATTTTCGGGTGGTTTTTAGGGGTGTTGGCAGATTAAATTACAGCGTGGCTTGGGTTAGTCAATAAATACGATTTAACATGTGTTTTCCGGGTCTTTTTCTTGTAACCGGCTTAAGTGTAAAGTACGGCTTATCTTGAAATATTTTGTTATACCTTAATCATTGCTGTGTGCTTTTGCTTTTTATATCAGGTGAGGTATTTGCTTTATTCAATTAATCTATAAATGTGTGTAACTTAAATGCAGATTGTAAACCTTTACGTATCTACTTGCTGGATTCAATCACTTGTACCTCTTAATGTGTAACCTTTGTTGGTATTGGTAATCATGTTTCATTGTCGGTAGAGCTGTATCTGTGCTGTACATACTTGCACGTGTACACATTTGTATATTGTGCTTTTTAGTCACTCTCGATTATTTCAGTGCAATTCATTATAATTGCTTATGGCTGTGGGTAACCAAGAGGGAAGTGTCCTTGTTTAGAGGAGATCGAGTTATTCAAGTTTATACGGGCCTTGATGAACCTAACACTAACATTTTCACTCGTTCCGAAACCCAACAACTTTAGCCCACGTCTACAGGCACCCCACTGGGCCTGGGTAATCCTTCCGCCCGGCGAGGTATATTTAATATCTCTTAGTTTTGTCTGATGTATGTGTTGTAATACCTGGGGAATGGCCCCCGAGTGACAGATTCTCGCGGGAAACTTAAGCGCGAATATTCAAATAGGCAGCTATGTTAGTTTGGCATTCCCGCTACTACAGAATATGGTGAAATATTCCGGTGTGACTTGATAAGTTGGCGTTAGCCCGCCTAGATAGTAGGAGGCTTAAGATCATTACATGTTTACAAACCGCCACCACATATACACGTCATTTGTAAATTACACCAGCGCCTTTAGTGTTAATCTCAATCGCGAATTGCCTTATGTTCGGTTTTGGAATATTCACCCGGTATATGTGCATACCATGGCCTAGTGCATATAATACCAACTTCACCGCAGTTTACTCTCGGTACCCGCCTATGTATGAGTATGATCTACATACCCGCTAGTAAAAAATACATGTCCAGTTCACCCTTTTGATAAAATCAAAAAATTTATTTGTAAGGCAATAAATAACCTACACCAAAAAATTAGTGATTTATTGTTGATATCATTCCGAATGCTTATGCCATTACATTGGTCAAGGTAAGTCACACCTACTTTTGTAGGATTCAAACGTTATTGTTAAATTATAGATAGCCATGGATGACAACGTTGCATATGTTAAAATTGAACCAAAACAAGAAGAAGAAGAAGAAATAGATTTGTCCATTGAAAGCAACGTTCTTGTAAGCAATGAATTTTTGGCCACTATAAAAGAGGAAGGTAATGAAATTACGACGAGCGTAGAATGTTCTAGCAAGGAGTACAATGGGGAAGAAATACAACAACAAGGTCATTTGTCACAAACTGTAGAGTTTCAATGTTATCAAATATACCTTTTGATGCGGAACGATCCTAATAATTTGAAATGTCCAAACTGTGATTATGTAACAAACGTTAAACAGTATTTAAAACGACATCTCCTAATACACAATATATCTAAAGAGTTTAAATGTGCAATTTGTAATTATGTAACAAATGTTCAACAGAATTTGAAATCACATCTTTTAATACACAATGATGCAAAAAATTTTAAATGTGGCATTTGCAATTATGCAACAAGTATTAAAAGACGTTTAAAGTTACATCTGTTAAAACACAATTCAAAAAATTTTAAATGTAATTTTTGTGATTACCGAACAAATATTAGGAAGAATTTGGAGATACACGCCTTAAGACATAACAAGATTCTAACCAGTATCATAAACTATAATTTTAATTTAAATCAAAAAACAGCGAAATAATACTAAGTCTATGTTGTAGGTTCTATTTTGTAATGCCGTAACTTCATTGGAATAATAAATTTGATGTTAATTGCAGGTGCGTTAAGTTGTTCCCCCAAAATCAAGAACACAAAATTCCTTTTGTGCACACGGTCCCACATTTTGTGCCTCACTGATATCGGAGAAATAATTTGGCGTTACAACTTAACGCCTGTGTAGGTACACACAACTTCAATTTTGCATTGTGAATTGTGTGCCTGATTTTGTGTTTTGTGCGACAACATTAACCGAGATACAAAATTTTTAAATTAGGGTTAGGTACAACCACAGACCTCGGTAAGAAATAAAATGAGCCACAGACAACACAAATTGTCAGTGGTTCCTTCTCCATTCTAATCTAATGCCGGCTCTACACATGCGGAATTCGGCGAGCAGCGAGTATCGAATGTTGCGCGCTCGTCGAATGTGTATGGTTAATTAGATACTCGACAAGTAGTCAATCATCTTCCATCGGTTGTCGGTAATTGGGCGCAAGGACACGAATACCTTGGTGAGTAGAAAAGTTGACACATTCGTTTCCTTAGTGGTATTGACACACCGTGAGTGCTAGGGCGTTTTTTTTTAAATTACGAAAAGGTATTGAAAGGTTTGAGATGTCTATATCACTTTAAATACCCTGTATATTTCAACGTCGGTTGCAACCGGTCAAGTAGTTGGAGATTCTGGGGACGTGAGCCACCGCCGATGTTTTGGATTTGGGGGCTTGGCGTCACTTGTTGATTGTTAAAGGTTGTTGGTGGGATTATTGCATTTTGAGTTGTATTCATAGAGTTTAGCTTCGTTTTTGTGGTTGTGCGTAGGATTTAAACCACTTTGGTGTCGGGTAAGGTATTTTATGTAGTTTACTCTTATGTACTTATATGAATTGTGCCATTTGTTATATCAGATATTTTCCATCTACCATTGTGCTAATATGTAATTTACAACATGCGAGGTGTTAACTAATATCCATGTGCTGGTGGAAGTCTACGATATCTCAGGTTTAGGCCACGTACAAGGTGCGGGGGGTGTACCTATGTAGAACTTCGACTTCCGTGAAGTAGGGCATGCAATGCTAGGTGTACTTAGGTTAGGGTGACTCGTAACATTCGCGAATGTGTGTGCCTTGTTGTGTGTAACTAATGTCTTCCTACGGTGAGAGGGAGCTCGGACGCTAGTATAGAAATGTATTCTAGAGCTAGGGCACGAAAGGATCCGAGGGCCCTCGAACCTCCAACTTTAGAGACGAAGTGCTGTTAACCGAAGTCCGTCCTACCCATGGGCGGCGACCCATCTCTTAACCATCTTCAGTTTTGTGTCGTTACGTGGCCAATGTCAGGGGAGTGTTACGAAGCACAGGTAGTAGTTCCGGAAGTCTGGGGTTTGTACCAATGTCATTATGTGGAAACTGAGCATAATTGGGGGCTCCACGACCACACTGTGTATTGTCATAACTACCTATTGTTACGTAACAACATGAATAATAGATCAGACATGTTTTTACAAACTTCACACCACTCTATTCGGTATATAATGATATGAATAACTAGTAAGGTGACTTATATCAATAAATGCATGAATGTGTTGCCCCTAACAATCTTAACTGCGCTACAGGTTAATAGGCAAATATGCCAGCCCAATCCCTAACAATATAACCGTGAAACAGGAGGGCAATCAAGCGAAGACGCTGGCCCAAACCTAACGAATAACCAGGTTCACCACCCAATGACTAACTAAAAAGTGAGTTGCCTTCTAGCCGCGATTAAAGGAAAGTACATGACATGTTGGGACGAATACTCTACGCGTACTGTTCAAACGTACCCTGCTACTTGAATTCATTAATTAATTGAGGCAGTGTTACGTGTTCTTCTTAGGTGGTTGGTGTTTTAATTTGCTTGTGATTAGCATAGTTTGGGTTTTATTCAAGGCCAAGGTTTTTTCTCAAGTCGCGCTCTTTTTCTCCTTGGTAGTCTGCTTTTGCGAGAGTGCGGCACCTTTAGGTTTTGCTTGCTTTGCTTTTAATGTACCACATCCAAATTCCCGGGTTTTCAGAATAAGTTTATAATAAATAAACTCGCAGACATTACAGCGTTTTATTTGAGTGTTCCTGCCCGACTGGGTCCCGAGTCATTGTGTTAGCTTCGTGTAACGTAAGGGGGCCCTACCATAGACGATCCAATCACGTGCCATTCTTTTGTTTGAAATTTGAGCAGGAACCGTGTTTTGATACTGGGATTGAAACGTTGCCACTTTGCTGTGAAATCTGTCATCTTCACTTCGACCCTGGTTTTGTGTTAAGTTCAGTACAAGGCGTTGTGACAATTTTATTAGCGTTCTTCCTTTAATAAATGAGTTAGTGTTGGCGTTATTCATTTTTATTTGCAACAGGCGTGTTTGATATAAGAATCGCTTTGAATGAATTTATAGAAAAGTGACAACACTGTTTTTACTTTTGATTGTAATCCATATTCCATATATGTATAAAAGACATATGTTGTAATCATAGGCGGCATATGTAGATAAGTTCAGGTTGATGAAAGTTATGTCCCTCAAAGGTAGTTTCATAATGGTCTATACACTTTTTAACATAAATTGAAGTGCACAAATGGAAATATGTAGTTTCTCATGATCTGAGGTTGGTCGGTGAAAGGGTATAAAAGCAACAGAATACATTTTGGTGAGATTCCGCCTTTTCAAAGATTAGCTTTTATCAATTTTCTTGATTTTAGTTATCATTTTTTCGGAAGCAAGATGTGGGAGCCTCGATTCCTTCTCGTAATTAGGTTTTCACCCCGCCACAATACGGTAAATCTGAAATAACCAAAAATTTATATAGTACTAAAACTGTGGAACGTTATGGACGAGGATGATGGCTCACCACTTGTTAAAATCAAACTTGAACAAGAAAACGAAATACTTTCTTCTCTCGATGAAACCGTTTTCGTTAGCAACAATGCTTTGTTTACAATAAAGGACGAAACTACAATCGATGCACAGCACTCCGGATTGCCACATAATGGAAACACGCAGCAACAGACTGATTGTAAATTGAAGATTTTCAAATGTGATCTTTGCGATTACACAACGAATATTATATTGCAGTTCAAACAACACTATTTAAGACATGAGGTTTCTAAAGACTTCACGTGTATTGATTGCGATTACAGGACAAACAGTAAAGACAACCTTAGACGACACTCTTTAAGACATAAGGTGTCTATTAATTTTAAATGTGGCGATTGTAATTATGGAACCGACAAAAAATCGCACATCAAAAGACACATTTTGACACATGCTTCGAAAGATTTTAAATGCGCTCATTGCGATTATATGACGAATAATGAAAGTTATTTGAAACGACACATTTTAAAACACAAACCTTCGAAGGATTTTAAATGCACCAGTTGCGATTATGGCACAAACATACAATCTCGCATCAAACAACACCTTTTAAAACATAATGTTTCTAACAATTTTAAATGTGACATTTGTGATTATGAAGCGAACACAAAATATTATTTGAAACTGCACCTTTTGAAACATGTTTCGAAGGATTTTAAATGTGTTATTTGCGATTATGTGACAAATAATGAGACCTATTTGAAACAGCACGTTTTAAAACATAAAATTTCCAAAGATTTTAAATGCGGCAGTTGCGATTTCGGGACCAACTTCAAAATTTCCTTCGAACGACACCTTTTGAAGCATAAGGTTTCTAAAGATTTTATATGCGCTAATTGTAATTATGGGACAAACAGAAAGTTTGACTTCAAACAACACATGTTGAAACATGCGCCTTCTCCAAATTTTAAATGTGACTATTGTGATTACGGGACTCACATAAAATCTTGTTACAAACGACACCTTTTGAAGCATAAGGTTTCTAAGGATTTTAAGTGTGCCAGTTGTAATTTTGAAACGAACATAGAATCCAGCTTTAAAGTTCACCTTTTGTCACACCAAGCTTCTAAAGAATTTAACTGTGCCAATTGCGATTATGCAACAAACAGTAGAGACAACCTTAGACGACACCTTTGGAAACACAGAGTTTCTAAAGATCTTAAATGTACTATGTGTGATTATGGGACGAATAATAGAAGCCATTTGAAACGGCATCTTTTAAGACACAAATCTAATGTTTTCAAATGTGCTAATTGCGATTATGAGACGAAAAGCAAAAATAATTTGAAACGCCACCTTTTAACTCACAAACTTTCCAAAGAATTTAAATGTGTCAATTGTGGTTACGAGACTAATAAGAAATATGACCTAAAACGACATCTTTTAAGATATATTAACCGTTTTCGTACAGTGGCTGCTTATACATCAAAAATTTAATTGAACAAAGAAGTTTATTGCCTGTCAGACGTTTAATTTAATTCAAACAGTTTGGTTACACTGGAAGGGGAAGGGAATTCGGCAATCACTGAGTAGGTAACCGCCATTTCTTCTGGATCTGATTGAATTTGTAAATAAAAGGAACATTTTGAATATGATTTAAAAAATCATTTATTACTATGTGTATTGTAAGTTAAGTTTAATTCCGTAGTTTATTTATTTACAATTAATTAACAATAAATTTATAACAGTGTTAAAATGAATTAATTAATAATAGTTAAAGTATTATTTATCACACGCATATACACAATTTGTAGCAGCGCGAACTATTTATTACTTCGGCGTTGAAATTGGAACTTCCTGAAACGAAATTCAATTTGCTTATATAGTAAACGCGAGGCCCGAGTTCGGAATAAATTTTTGTCAATCGTGTGTTTATTTGAACCCATTGCGCGACCCGGACAGAGTGTTTATGTCAAATTTTTCTATTTGTGTACAAGATTTATGTCCGATGTTGATCAAAATTTTTGAAATAAATCCTTTGGGACAGAAGTTGATGGAGACACTGAGTCCCCCAAATTATTAATTAAAGTCGATATTGGGACTTTTCTTTGTAGCTGATGCCGGAATTATAAGTTTCGTTTGAGCTAGCTGGACCGGTGTTTTGTTGGTGGTGTAGTTTACCGCACGCCATTGCACACAGCATTATTTAGTTGGTGCCCAACGTGGGGCCGCAACATTATTTATTTGGCGCCAAACGTGGGGCACACCAATATCTTATTCCGCGTTTACGAAAGGGCGGTAAGTAGGCCAATAACCGAGCTCCGTGTAGTGACCAGCGTATGTCAGTTACGATCCAGTTCAGTCGAAAAATGCCGCGCCTGTCCACTGGTTTCAAGAGTAGCCGCTGAGCCTTTAGCAGGCACCTCCATCACTCAAAGCAGGAATGGTGCCAGTTGACCGCGTCGTGTAAAGTACAATTATCCGCGCCCGACGCGACTCTACCAGTTGGGTGACGATAACGAGATATGCTTCATCTTAGGGGAAGGAGTTCTCTCATAACAGTAGTAATATAGGGCCGATTCTAAATCACACTAGATGAAAATCCATATAAAAATGACTAGAATTGAGTGGTTCTGCACTGCGGTAGCGTGGTTTGCGCCTGTACTAACGTCAAGGTCAAGGGGTCGAGGTTTGTGCTCGAGATAAAGCGCAAACCGAATTACTTTAGCTCGGACGCAAACCTCCGATACTTTATTTCGAGCGCAAACCTCAACCCCTTGACCTTGACGTTAGCATAGGCACTAACCTCGCTAGCGCAGTTCAGAACCACTCAATCCTAGTGACTTTTCTAGAGGATTTTCATCTAGTGTGATTTAGAATCGGCCGTACATCACCATCGCCAAGAACCCTCTACTCAGGCGCAAACCTCCGATACTTTATCTCGAGCGCAAACCTCGACCCCTTAACCTTGACGTTAACACAGGCGCAAACCTCGCTACCGAAGTTCAAAACGACTCAATTCTAGAAACTTTTCTAGGGATTTTGATCTAGTGTGATTTAGAATCGGCCATACACTACCATCGACAAGAACCCTTGACTCAGGTCAAAAACCGAATTACTTTAACTCAGACGCAAACCTACGATACTTTATCTCGAGCGCAAACCTCGACCCCTTGACCTTAACGTTACCACAGGCGCAAACCTCGCTAGCAGAGTTACAAACCTAGTTACGTTTCTAGTGACTTTTTCGCGTCTAGTGACTTTTTCTACTTATAACAGTATCCTTTTTTGTTTTTGGTGATACGCGGTCACACTGGATTTGGCATTCATCAAAAGCTTGACGGAACATTCCCAGAAAAGCTTTTATAACTCCCCACAAGATTCAGTGATAAAATACTTGATTAATTTGCTCCAGAGGTCTTTTCCACCCTACGCTCTGCTCTACTCCTTAAACAGAAAATCGAACAGTCACGCTTCAACTTGTGCCACAAGTGGCTAAGATACCGGCTTGCACCCGGGTGGCCCAGTTCGAGAATTTTTTTTCACAAAAATGTATCGCATTCAGCGGGGTTGGACATTAGGTTATTTGTAGGTTTACGATTGTGTTCTCAAATTATAAAAGTAGACTTTCACAAAACAACAAAATCCACATAGTAGCGTCTATAACTTTAACACTAACAAAAAGACTTAAAATTCAATTATGATTGTTGTTCTCGCCTTGTGCGATGAGTCGGGGGGTTTTTGTTCGTATTATATAGAGACGTAATGTATTTATTGAATTTGTTTGCAGTGGCATTTTGCTACCTTGTACAGGTGCCAAATGTGATTTTTTCAAGACTTCCGAATTGTTACGTTATTTAAATACTGTAATGGGATCGAACTCGAAACCCCGAACTCTATTTTATAATTGGACAGGTTATGTCCTGGCCAAAATGGCGGGTGCCTGAGCTCTAACCACAACTACAAACTATGTTATGTATATTCCTTGCCCGTGAGACCCTGATGATGTGAATGTCTGGAGCCGTTACATGACAGTCTTAGTATATTACTTCATTTCTGTGAACGCTGATGTTGTCGTACAGGTTGAAGGCTAGTAATTGTAAAATGCAAATTAGAAACGAAGTAAGAAGGTAAGTTGTTCCATTTCATGGAGTATTTCAGTAGCTCTTTTTCTTGCCTTGTAAACAATGAGGACCCTAGAGCTACTCTCGGTTGTGAAAGGGCCACTTTTATTTCTATTATGTTGCCTTGATTTGAAATGGGTTTTACATTTTAATTAAATTTCACTCTCCCCCCATTTCTTGTGTTTTGATTTATGTTGGTTTAATGAAATCGATCCTCCGAGCGACACAATACAATAATGGAGAAAGAGCAGCAAAAAGGAGTGGTGTAATTACACTGGGCACATTTTAAAGGATGAGAATTCCTAACTTGTGTGAAATATTTAGAATGCTTCCCAAAAGTGGCACAAATAACCAATGAGTTTTCGCTTTAGGTCTACGAATGCACCAATAAACACGAACGATTTAAATCAAAAATAGCAACAGGAGGCACTATCGAACGCACCTTTTAGTTTTAAAAATCTATTTTGGCTGTGTAAAATACACCCCTCGTGTGACCTTAGCCCAATTCACATTGCGCTAGCGTAACCACTCTTTGTATGACGTGTTACCACGCCCACTTGTGTATTTTTTTTTATGTATCAATTGGGGTAAGTTCTCCTTGTTGTTGTTGTTTTTTTCTTATGAACATTGTAGTTGTAGAATGTCTATTGAGGTGAAAATCGAACCGAAGCAAGAAGAGATAAATTCGAGCATTAAAGAAGAACTTAATGCAGTTGCCATAAAGGAAGAACCGAACGAGCTTACTGGTAGCGCAGAATGTTATAAGTTGGAGTACAACGAAGATTTGCAACGACAGAACAATTACAGTTCAGACATTAAGCCGTTTAGTTTCAAAAATTGCGATTACGCAATTGATAATCAATTTTGTTGTAAACGAGACCTTTTAACAGATTTAAAATGTAACAACTGTGATTATGCAGCTAAGACTAAAGACAAGCTTAAACAACATTTTGATACACATAATCTTGGTAAAGGTTTCAAATGTGACCGGTGTTATTACGCTACAAATGTGAAACGCTATCTTGTGCGACACCTCAAAACCCACGCAACTTTTACACTTCAAAATCCTGCGGACCTAAAATGTGATTATTGTGATTATATGACGAATACGAAACCCAAGCTTAAACGACACTTAATAACTCACAAAGTAGCTAGAGATTTTAAATGTGGCAATTGTGATTTTACGACAACAGCGAAAATATACTTGAAACAACATCTTGTAACACATCGAGTTTCTCACGATTTAAAATGTGACCAGTGTCATTATGCTACAAATGTGAAACGGAATCTTGTGCAACATCTCAAAACCCATCGTAATGGTACTTTTACCAATGATTTCAGATGTGACAAGTGCGTTTTTAAAACAAAGAGGAAATGCAATTTTATTCAACACTTGAAGGCGCACGTGATTGAAGATTTTAAATGTGACGTCTGTCATTATGCGACCCATTCTAAATGCAACTTTAAAGCGCATCTTTTAACACATCAAGTTTCCAAAGATCTTAAATGTGACAAGTGCGGATACTCAACAAAGTCTCACCGTTATTTTAATGAACACCTCGCTCGGGAATCGTGCGAAATTTTTCGATGTGGCAGTTGCAATTACGTAACTTATATTAAAAACAAGCTTACACGACACCTTTTAATACACAATGCCAACGATTTTAAATGTGATAAGTGTCACTATGCGACAAATATCGAATACAAGCTGAAATACCACGCCTTATCGCATAAAGTGTCTAAAGATTTTATATGTGAGAATTGTGGTTACGCAACAAATGTTAAAACGCTATTTAAACAACACCTCTTAACACACAATGCTTCTGAAGATTTCAAATGTACTCACTGTGATTTTTCGACTACACAAAACAGTTATTTGAAAAGGCATCTCATAGTGCACAAAGTTTCTAAAGATTTGAAATGTGACCAGTGCGATTTTGCAACGAACGTTAGATACAAACTTAATCAACACCTTTTAAGACACAACATCCCCAAGTATTTTAAATGTGATAAGTGTGATTATGAAACGACAAGTAAATCTCGTGCTATGGACCATCTCCTAACGCACAAGGTTTCCAAAGATTTTAAATGTGATAACTGCGACTACGTGACCGGTATTAAATATCGTTTTATACAACATCTTCTAACGCATAAATCTCTCAAGGATATTAAACAAGAGCAATCTGTCGATTTTAAATGTGACCGATGCGATTATGGAACAAATGGCAAGCACAAGCTTAAGAAACACATTCGAGTGCACAAGGATTTTAAAGATTTTAAATGTGAGCGTTGCGATTACGTAACTAACTATAAAATGTGCCTTAAACAGCATATGGAAAGGCGCCACCCTGTTACAAACTAAAAACCTCTTTGTTTAATGGGCAATATGTAAGTCGGTAAGCATCAGGCAATAATTTGTGGTTTAAGTAGGAAGTTTTCGGTGTTTTGATCTAATAAACTATTAAAATAAGTGGGGGGTTCTGAGTATGGGTATTTCTTAGTTGATCTAATTATATTTTTGTACCGTCTTTGTCAATTGTCAGGTACCCACTTTATTATTTTATTCTACTATTAGGAATGTATCTTAATAATGATATTTATTGGTTACTATATCAATCTTTGGGCGAGGCGAGGAGGCGCAGACATAGACTGATAATCTCAAATGAGCAAAATAATTTACTGCATTAATGCAAATATAATGTAATTTAATGCAATATATAATATACGCAATACAATACAATATATATAAAATTCAATATAATATGTGTAAAAAACGCGAAAATATTGTTGGGTAAACAATGTCTTGTAGACTTAGGTCTAAACACCAAAAATAATGACGAGACATCCTGTATATGAGACTATTTCAATTAAATCTGGGAATAAGTACCTTTTGGTCTTGTTTGTAATTGCATTATTTTTATTTAAATTGTATCATTTTGTGCAAACCGTTCGATTTAGATAAGACGCATAAGTAAGAACTATCTGGTCATTTGCGATAAGAGCTTTTGATATCAGACGAAAGTTAATTCTTTTCAACGAAAATGCAATACTTAATGCACGAGTGCACGTCTCCAGAGAAAGAAAGAAGAGGGGACTTCAAGCGCGTATCAGTCGGCATTTTCTAATCTAATTGTACCTATTTGGCGCATTTTTGATAAATACCGGAGCAAGGAGTTTATTCCATAATGGAAGTGGCGTTTCGTTAAATACTGCAGACAACGAAAAAGAAAACCTAGCTGGTTCGCAACGGTTGAAAAAGGATGTACGTCTTTTTACACTAATTATTCGATTTGAATGATTGAAGACGCAAGTAGACCAAGGTATGTTCTAGACCAGTGAAGTCACAGCCGATCAGAGACGATCCCGCCCCCCGGAAGTTACGTTGCTGCCAGAGACGGCACGCCTCTCCTCTTGGATAATGGGATATGGTAGGCGGAGTTTTTAGAGAGCCCAGTGCGCGATTCTGTTAGGCGACATTTTGTAGGAAGCCATCTTGGGTCGATCCGCCATCTCGTTGGGCATCATCACGCATCCGCCCGCCTTTTATAAGCCACTGTTCTAAATCCGTCACTATTATATACCCGCCATTTTTTTACGCCATCTTGGAACCGGTCGCACTTTTATTAGTCACTCCGCCCTTTTGTTGGGCGCCACGTGACGCGATTGGTGGGTAACTTTTTTTTTATTGGCGTTGGGATTCGAATCCACGACACCTGAGATAGAAAGCCAGAGCGTAACTATATTGGTCACGGAGGCTTTGGAAATGTTACAGTTAGAGGTTGAAGGAGCTCCCTTTCTAACCCTAATTCCTGTTGAAGTACCAAAAAAACTTTGACGTGCTCTGTAGGTTAAATGTTAAAATTAAGCAAGTGAACCTAAGTTCATGTATGTCAAGCAGAGGTATGACATGTAGTTTAGTTTTGTTTCTTTCTATTTTATCCTTAAATAAAGCAACAGTTTACAGTTCGCGGGTTTTTGCTTATTTATTACTGGATGAACGTAATAAACTCATCAGTTCCATCTCTGAGCCATGCTAAGGTCACGAGTTGGAACCGGAACCGAATTGCATTTATAAGCGCATCACTTGGAACCGGAATTGTTATTTAAGAAATTATTTAAGAATAATAACCGATACCGGTATCGTGATAATTAGTGCCAAAGCACCGGTATTTTTCGGTTCTCTCACTCTTGTATTTATTTCTAATAATAATTTTATTTATTTATCTTAATGGAACCCTTAAAAACCGAAAAAAACTGGAACCGAAGCCGAATATTACTGAAGCCACAGAACCGGAACCGGTACCGAAACCCTTAAAAAATAATTCTGCCTAAAAAGTGCGGAACCGGAACTTATATTTCATACGGGTTCCAAATCCCGGTAAGGATGCTCTACTATCATTGCTAACCTCTCTCTCAGACATGCATGTTGCCCCCATTCTAACCTGTAAAAAATGAACTTTGAAAATATGAATGATAACCTATCATTCCATTTTGGAGATATACAAGGGGGCTCTGTCATTGCTAAACTTTTTTCTAAGACAAGCATGTGGCCTCCGTTGGCTTTCTCTCAGCTTTCGTGGGTTCAACGACAATAAGAAATTTTTATACAGCGTGACGCTCCCAACAAAATGGCGGGTGGTCCAAGATGGCGTCAAGCGTCCAATAAAATGGCGGATTTAGAATAGTGGCTAATAACATGGCGGGCGGTTCCAAGATGGCGCCCAACAAAATGGCGGAGTTAGTAATTAAATGGCCGACCGATCCAAAATGACGCCCAAGATTTTCTGTACAGAAAAAAGTCAACTAAAGTTTAAAGGGCGTTGTCCGCTTTACGGAAAATGTTGTCCTTTTGAAGGAAAGGAAGCAGTCTTAGTGCACGCACTTTATCGAGTTTCTTTTGTTGTTGCGCTGGCTCGTGTGGCGCAGTTCAGTTAATGTTGAAAATAACTTTTAAGAAGATTTAGGCTTCGCAGAATGATACAAATTTTATTATTAAAAATATGATTGATTGACAGACTTTTACTCACTTGATAAATTAAAAAATACAATATCATGAAAACATTTACAACATTCTCCCACCTTGGGAACTAAACCATTAGTGAACAATAAATTATAAAGACAAACGCAAAACTGGTTTAATAATTCGACCACTTCTGCTCACTTTAGGTACCTTAGCAGACTCATTACCACTGCTTGTACCTTGTGCATCATTTAAAGTAGAATCACAATGTTCATTTTCTAAAGACCCATTCAAATCCGATGGTACACCTGATGGCGACGATGAATTTTTTGTTGTTGTCCAAGTTCTCTTCAATCGAATCAAGACATTCGAGAGGGTAGAGTCGTTGAATTGGACGTAATACAATCCCCTTGGCAGTTTTAAGTCGCACTAGCCGAACCTGACGATCCTTTCCAGGAAATATTTCTGTAATTCTTCCTAATGGCCAGTCTATTCGTTTATTCTGATCATTACCAATCAGCACAATTTCATTCAATCGAACTTGAATATTTTTCATTCCTTTGGAAGACAACTTCAGTTGACCCAAGTATTCTGTTCTAAAACGCTGACGAAGATTTTCTCGAAGTTTCTGACGATATGCAATCCGCTTATTTAAAGAAGACGAATCAATTGCATCCAAGTCAGGTACACCAATATCCCGTTGTTCTTGTAGAAAAGAATTTGGTGTTAATGGAGAGAGTTCCGATGGATCATCTGATAGATATGTGATTGGCCTTGAATTAACTATAGCTTCACAATCACATAAAACCGATACCAATTCTTCATAATTCAGGGAAGCTCTGCCCAGTACTCTCCGAAGTAAAGATTTCAAAATTCTTATTATTCTTTCCCAAAATCCGCCCTACCACGCGGCGGTTGGTGGGTTAAAATACCACGTTATGCGATTAATTTCACTATACTTTAAAATAGTGGACCAGTCAATTTTTGATAATGCGTTTCGCGAACCGATAAAATTTGTTCCGCAATCACTATATACTATACGAGGGCGTCCACGACGACTGATGAATCTGCGTAAAGCTTGAAGAAAACAATTTGTCGATAACGAGGTAACAAGTTCAAAATGTACTGCACGATACACGGCACAAGTGAAGACACATACCCAACCTTTTTGAGATTCTTTCAAAATCAAAGGTCCAGCTAAGTCCACACCAATAACTTCAAATATGGCAGCGTCACGAACTCTGTTAAAAGGTAAAGGAGGACTATCTTGTTCCATTTTGTTCACTGAGTGACGCTTGCATGAAATACAGTTAGAAATAGCGCTTTTACAAGAGAGAAGGAATTTGCTCTATCAAATTTGGACCCCTTTCCAGACAGTCGTTTAACGAAGGATGTCCTTTTTCATGTGATGATGCATCAAATACAGGGCGAATTTTAGTAGTTGTGCTACTAGCTTTTATTATTGGTCGATGTGGCAGATAAAACACATTTTCATTATTTATTGCGTTTCTTTCTGTTACCTCTTCAATAATACCAATTTGTTCCCATTCTTTAAGCACATCCCCATAGTCATCAAATAAACCATCTCGTTGTAGTTTCTTAGCTACACTTTCGATACGTTTTTTAGCGATATCTATATTCTTTCTTAAAGGTGGGTGTCCTTGTTTCCATGGCATTTGTACCACATACCATCCATCCTCGTCTATTTGAACCGTTTCCAAAAAATACTCGTTGACTGCTAAATTGATCTCTTCTTTAGATTGTTTGTCAACAGGATCATCAATGCCGATAATATCCAAATTCCATAAATTTGTAATGGTAACATCCTTACATAACATCGAGGTCACAGACATAGCAGTAATGCTTTTCTGTTTGTTCAAAACAGGAACTTTGCCCAACAATGTCCAACCCAAATACGTTTCTACAGCTACTGGACCACAATCTAAAACATACTTTTTGCCTGTTAGTAGTTTTCCAGCAACATCTGCGCCTATGAGTATCTCCACCGGAGTGGCGATTGTAACATCTGATATTTTTATCTGCAATCTGTCTAATTCATTCATCCATGGTCCATTAAAGACTGGTATTATATTGTCACAGATAATCGATTGTTCTAAAACTTCGAACCGAAAAGCATACCTCTGATCCAAATCTAAGACCCTTACATCATAACATGCATGATCTTGCTCATCAGTACTGGTACCTCCAAATAAGGTATGAATAATTTTCTCCCGCCTCTTAACTGGATACTCTAATTCTTCTGCAGTTGATCTTAAAATGTAAGAACGTTGAGAACCAGTATCCACTATAGCACGTACTTCACGCATAGTATTATCATTACGGATCAAAACTTTAAGAGTTTGCAAAAAAACGTGTGTGTCTGAAATATTAGACAATGCTTTTTCAACAGAGGTGGTTTGATGACTTCTTTCCACAATGTTCTCAGAAGTAGCAGCTTTATTGCTCGCTAAATTTGAACACATGAGTGGTACATGCTTACCATTACAGATGATGCATTTTAGCCTTTGACGACATCTTTTACTGTTATGTCCTAATTTTAGACAAGAAAAGCATGCCCTTTTATTGCTTAAAATGTGTTGTTTCTCCGACAGTAACATTTTCCGAGCCATAAAGCATGACTCACTAGCATGATCTTTTTCGCAAAACAAACATTTTGCAAGACTGTTTACTGACAGTAAAGCTGCTGCAGTCGGTATCGACTCACTCGTTTTAAATTTGGGTTTCTTGTCTTTATTATCTGTCTGAGGTAAAAACCCTTCAACAGCTAAATTAATGCGTTCATCATTTTGTACCTCAGACCTTATAAAACACATTAAAGCATCTAATCTTGTTTTTAATGTTCCACCAGCATTACCCGAAAACTGAGATGATCGTTGCCAAGCTCTTAATAAATCTTCTGGCAAACAAGATTCGACTAAAGGGTATAGCATAGCGGAACATGTATCAGTTGTCACTCCAAGAGTACTTAATGCTCTTAATTGTGTTTCAATACGATCATATAAACTAGACAGACCTAGTTTTTTATTAGGAGACAATGCCTTATTTAAAATAATTTTTAATAGCTCCCGTACGTAGACTTCAACTAATAGGTCTTTCCTCCCAAAACGATCCTTTAGACTTTCAATAGCTTCAGTATAATTGTCGCCCGTGGGAGGAAAACTATTTAATAATTCACTTGCACGAGTACCTGAAGACATTGCTTGAATCAAATATTGAAATTTATCTTCATTAGTGAGTACATTGTCCTCGTGTATCTTACGAAATTGACTCCAAAATGACAACCAATTACGTATATCACCATTGAATTTTTTACATTCAATAGTAGGCAGCTTGATTCTGCGAAAGATCCCTTTGTTACTATTTGTTTCACTACAAACGCTTTGAGTTTCGTTATGAGCTCCATTATTACAAATTACAGCAGAAGAGACTAGTTCTTCACATTGCAGATTCAAGCTCTTAAAAGAAAACTCATACCTATCTACACATGCTATTTCCGTATCTAACTGATCCTCCGTAGCGTCAGCATCCAACATCAAGTTATAAATCTCTTGATTGGCGTGTCGTAGAGATTCAGCTTTATCATGAAACAGCTCTAAATTGGCACGAATGGTATTAATGTCTGGTGATTCTGCTTCTATCATCTCAGTCAACTTATTTGCGATCGTCGTGAACGCCCTACGTACCGCTGAACGCGACTTCGTTGCCCGATCCATATCTTTAAAGCGTATAGTCGTACAAACGAAAACGATACACAAATCGTTTAAAAATCAGCCTAAAATGTTAACAATCTTATTGCAGAGAGATTTTACACAAACCCCTTGTCCTGTCACGGTCGCCAAATGTTGAAAATAACTTTTAAGAAGATTTAGGCTTCGCAGAATGATACAAATTTTATTATTTTAAAAAATATTATTGATTGACTTTTACTCACTTGATAAAATTAAAAAATACAATATCATGAATCATTTACAACAGTTAAAACTGGACTGTGGTGCTAAGGATTCCTGGTTCGAAACCGGGTTTGGGCATGGATATTTGTAAATGTATAGTGGGTTAGGTTGGTAGAGCAGCCTTGACTGAAACCCGGCCACTCAAAAATAAAGGCAAAAAAACCTTAGAGCAGTCACTGATAATGTTTATACCTGTTCGCGACCAGATTTCAAGATTATTAAAAGATAAAAAAATTCGTAAGTAATTTTAAGATTTTCTAATTGTATTATCGACCGTTTGTGTGCGGAGTACTATGTAAAAACAAGCTTTGCAAGCTTCTGTTTCTTTTCAGGAATGTGTCATACTTTTGTCATTTAATGTGAGAAACTTGACGCGGTTGAGAGAGATTGAACAAATCTCATCATATCCGTCAAGGGGATACTCTTTTATTAAGTGGTAGGACTATAGGTACAAACCCCCATTACTTTATTGTGTGGTAGAGCCAAGTTATCCCAATGACGTCACGAACACATGCGCATAGGCTTACCATAGTTGTACGCAATCGCAGTAGATAAAATTACCGAACCCACCTATTATAACCAAGAATAATTGTGGCGTGGTGTTAACTGAGCAAGAATTATTCCTCTTCTATTCAGTAAGTTTTGTTATCAGTGAGTAAGTAATGTCTAGTTGCCTTGGGATCTCGGTCTGTATTGTTTAATTCCAAAATAAAATTTTGGTAAAACAAAACAGGTTTTTAGAATTTTAGCACATTTATTTATAACATTATTGTTGTTAGGTATGGATGAAGATAATGACACCCCACTCATTAAAATCGAACCAAAACAAGAAGAAGTAATCTATTCCTCTCTTCAGGGACACGTTTCAGTAAGCAACGAAGTTTTGGTGACAATAAAGGACGAAATTACCATTGGTACATCGTGTTCTAAATCTCTTTATAATGAAGAAGTACAACCACACTCTGACTTTCAACATCACCTTTTAACTCGGTGCAAAACAGATTCTAAAGATTTTAAATGTGGTGATTGTGATTATGAGACAAATGTTAAAGGCAGCCTCAAACAACACCTTTTAAAACATACAATTTCTAAGGATTTTAAATGTGGTATTTGTAATTATGGGACAAATAATAAAAGCCACTTCAGACGGCATCTTTTAAAACATACAGTTTCTGAGTTTTTTAAATGTGCTACTTGTGATTACGGGACAAATATTAAACGTAACCTAAAAAGTCATCTGTTAAATCATGCAGTTTCTAAACATTTTAAATGTGCAGTTTGTGATTATGAATCAAATTATAAATCCGCTCTTAAAGAGCACTCATTAAAACATAAAGTTTCTAAGGATTTTAAATGTGGTGATTGTGATTATCAGACAAATTATAAATCGTCTCTTAAAAAACACTTCTTAAAACATAGAGTTTTTAAGGATTTTAAATGTGCTGATTGTGAGTATGAAACGAATTATAAATTCGCTCTTAAAAAACACGTTTTAAAACATAAAGTTTCTAAAGTGTTTAAATGTACCATTTGTAATTATGGGACAAATGATAAACACAACTTCAAAAATCACCTTGTAAAACATAAGGTTTCTAAGGATTTTAAATGTGCCGATTGTGATTATGAGACGAATTATAAATCAGCTCTTAAAGACCACTTTTTAAAACATAAAGCTTCAAAGGATTTTAAATGTCCTGACTGTGATTATGAGACAATTTATAAATCCGCTCTTAGAAAACACTTTTTAAAACATAAAGTTTCTAAGGATTTTAAATGTGCACATTGTGATTATAAGACAAATTATAAATCAGCTCTTAAAAAACACTCTTTCAGACATGCAGTTTCTAAGGACTTTAAATGTGCTGATTGTGATTATGAGACAAATTATAAATCTGCTCTTCAAAAACACTCGAAAAAACACTTTTCAAAATAAGGTTTCTAATGCCGGTTTGCACCGACAAATTTAAGCGGAGCTTAAAATCCATGGCAACCATTGTCTCAATAATCGTTGCCATGGATTTTAAGCTACGCTTAAGCTAAGCTCCACTTTAATTTGTCGGTGCAAACGGCCATAAGGATTTTAAAAACAATTTGAAATGTGCTGATTGTGTTTATTGGATTTTAGGTGTACCAATTATGATTTTGGGACAAAAAGTAAAACCTTTGAAACATAAGAAAGAAATATTTTAAATGTGCTATTTGTGATCAGTCATAGTCATAACCTACCAGATAGGAACGCAAATGGAATACTTTGCCTGAACTGTAAAGCGGGCAGTTCGTATTTCGTTTAATTACATTGCCAATATATATGTTAATTTTTATGATAGATGAGTGCATTACATTTCACTTGAAGAGCTGCAAGACCTGGAAGGTGGGTAGCGATTGCCACCTGGCGCCTATTGAGATTATCATGGTCTATTGGTGATTGGTAAGGTATTTAATATTGAGGGGTAATCTAGTAGGTTACTATGGAAAATACTAAACACACATTTTACACAAGTTTTGAATTTGAATCTGACGTTAATGTAATACATTTGATAAACCAAAGAATGACCAGCTGAAATAGACTTCAAACCAACTCCACTCCTTTCCCATTTGTGAAAAATAACATCTTCCACATAAAGTACATGAAATACATTGTAAATTAGCCGGACGTTCTTCAGTCCGGAAGGTATCTGAAGGTCCTGGAGACGGTAACCTTAGACTAAAGTTGTATTTCGAGATGAATGCCACTAACTAATTTTAACACCCCGCCATTTACCTCTCCACGGACGAAACAGTTAAAGACACTAAAAAAGGCACGTTCATACACAAAGAATTGAAGTCGCTAATCAATCTAAATGAGTAGTGTGTTTATTTTCCTGTTCGGTGCAGACAGATTTCGCCTTGTAAAAATTCGCACGGTTGGCAGCTCTTATAAGTGTTATATATACAGTGTGGAACATTTCCAGTTAATGAGTCGGAGCAATGATCCATTAATTGAGATGCCCCAACCTTAGCAACGTCCTGTGAATATGATTGTCGATACGAAGCACCCTATACATCATGTTAGTTACACAAGCTGCCAACCGAAATCTGGTGGGATTTGCCGAATAGCCACCTACGAAGTATTTAGATGGGAAAACGATTATAGTAAGCCAATACGATCACAGTAAGCGATTGTCCTAAATTTCAGATGTGACAGTGTTTTTATGAATCGCTTCCACCATGCCCGAAGGCGTAATTAAACTAACCGAGAAGCAACTACTGGAAGTGGGAAAGCCAGTCGACTTCTCCTTCAAGCACCTCACCAGTTTGGAAGGTGTGAGTTGTAAGCGAAACTACCGGCACTAATTTAACACTGCGCAGGTGTGGCGATTGAAGGGCCACGTTCGCAGCGCATCGGTCAAATTCCAATCCGCGGCGCCACGAGTCGGCGATACTTAACCAGAGCCGTGTGGCTCAACAACAACAAGCTACCGAACATACGGCACATGGACGCGCTGATAAATTCGGCGCTCGAGGATCCCTCCAAGCTCGGCTGGATCGACTTCTCGTTCAATTACATAACCGAAATAGACGAGTGCATACTCAAATTTCCCAATTTGAGTATCGTGTACTTTCACGGAAACCTAATCAAGAATGTGGACGAGGTTTTCCGATTGCGGCCGTTAAGGCAATTGAGAACGGTTACGTTCCACGGCAATCCAATTTCGGAAACTAGGGATTATCGTCACTATGTCATAACGTACTTGCCGCAGGTTAAACGATCAGAAATTCCCTAACGTTAGTATAACGTGTGTTGCAGGTTCAAAATTTAGATTTTTCGCCAATCACGATATTGGAAAGGCGCGAACCCAAGCCCCCAACTGCCGTCAAAAAGGTTTCCGCAACAGCCAATAGTTAATTATTTTGTAATGCGAATCATGCACGATAAATCTACGTATTTTTTAAGTTGTACTGACTATTTTAACGGAAAATGTTTATTGCTAAACATCTACTTCACTTGGGTAGTTACAAATGATGATCTATTCATATTATGCATTTTTTTTTGGAGATTTCACCCGATTGCAAAATTTACGCAATCCGTCGGAAGACAAGTTTGGCATTGAAAATGAGATGTCTGCGTACAAGTAGCGTAATGCGACGCCTGGCTTACGTCCGGCGGTTGATTTTTAGTCCACTTTCCCGTTCAGGGTCAAGGAGTTGAACTTTGCGATTACTTCCGCTGTCTGCAATCAATTTCTTCGTGGCAACCACTTATTTAAAATTAGAAAGTGCAAAAGTTTGAATTACTTAGTACTGTCCGAATTAGCGTAGTCGCCCTCAAACTCAATGAACGCGCCTCTTGCACTAATATTTCTGTAGTTCAAACGACACCATGTTTCGGTTTCGAAATTAATCCTTTAACTAAACTTAACTAAAATATTACCACCCTGCTGTACTTTTTGAAGGTGCCCGGCTTAATTAACTTTTCTAACTGCGGAACACAACGCTCTCGTGGCCTAACGCGCAATTCCCTACGGCTATATTTCACGGTCTAATCCGTACAACATTAATTTCTCCAAACACTACGTCCAACTATAGCTTCGACGGTTTCTGCCAATCAACACGCATCCCTTCGTCCAATCAAAATCGTCTTTGGTGCCACACGTCTAGTAAAATTTGGTACGTGTAACGGGAAAATGAAAAATTTCATGGACTTGGAGGCCATATTCCACATTTAAAATATGGAACATGTGGAAACTAGTCAATCCCAACTCATATCGCACAAACATTTTGAGTCGAATAGTTTTTTGTTAGCAAGGTCTCTCCCCCAAATAGGTAGTGTTGACCCTCGTGCGGGAATTTGAAGTCTATAGTTGAGATTCGAGTCGAGATTGGTTCATCAATATTCAAATTAATCTGACAGCCAGACTTTTATTTGTTTTAAGAAGCTATTTTGGTTGCATAAAATTAAGCGCCTTTCAGGAGAGATATTGTCATTTAAAAGTAGACATAGTAAATCCCCATGTCTACTTCTTAATAAATAGCACTGTATATTATAAAAGAAGCTAAAAATGGATGGGTTTTGGGATAGTGTGAAGACGGGTTGCGAGAATTTCGATGTCAGTTTCGGTTTTTCTACGGGGCTAAACGAGATAAAAATAGAAGTTTGCGATTGGTCGAAATTTATTATTCTTAGATACATGCTCAAATTAGCTTCTTCACATCAAAAACTCGTTAGTAACGTATTTGCTTTGTTAAAAAATATTTAGGAGATCCTACAGTTCTGTTCAATATCACTGCAACAAACAATGTAAGGGAGGCTACAATTCTAGAGTACAAACCCTAGTATACATTGTAATCACAATTAGCACATTTAAAAACCGTAGACTCCTTTATGTTTTGAAAGGTGCTGTTTAAGATGGGCTTTACTTTTTGTCCCGAAATCACAATGAGCACATTTAAAATCCTTGGAAACCCGATGTTTTAATTGATGTCGTTTCAAATAGTGTTTAACATTTGTCCTATAATCACAATCGGCACATTTAAAATCTTTAGAAATGTTATGAATTAAAAGATGTCGTTTTAAGTTGTGTTTTTCATTTGTTCCATATTTACAAACAGTACATTTAAAAACTTTAGAAACGTTATGAATTAAAAGATGTCGTTTGAAGATGTACTTATCATTTGTCACATAATCACAATCAGCACATTTAAAACTCTTACAAACTCTATGTTTTATAAGATGTTGGTTAAAGTTGTATTTTTTGTTTGTTTCATAATCGCAATTACCACATTTGAAATCCTTCAAAACTTTATGTGTCAAAAGATGTTGTTTGAAGTCGTGTTTATCATTTGTCCCATAATCACAATCTGCACATTTAAAATTCTTAGAAACTGTATGTTTTAAAAGATGTCGTTTGAAGTGGTATATATTATTTGTACCATAATCACAAGTAGCACATTTAAAATCCTTAGAAACGTTATGTGTTAAAACATGTTGTTTGTAGAGATGTTTATTATTGGTTCCATAATCACAAGTAGCACATTTAAAATTTTTAAAAACTTTGTGAATTAAAACGTGTTGTTTGAAGTTGTTTTTAACATTTGTTCCGTAATCACAATCAGCACATTTAAAATGCTTAGATATTTTATGTTTTAAAAAATGTCGTTTGAAGAGGTGCTTATTATTTGTCCCATAATCACAACTAGCACATTTAAATTCCTTAGAAACCTTATGTTTTAAAATATGTTGTTTGAAACTGCATTTAACATTTGTCTCATAATTACAATCGGCACATTTAAAAACTTTAGATAGTTTATGTGTTAAAAGATGTCGTTTGAAGGTGCTTTTATAATTTGTCTCATAATCACAATCAGAACATTTAAAATCCTTAGCAACTTTATGTTTTAGCAGATGTTGTTTTAAGTTGCTTTTAACATTGGTCCCATAATCACAATCAGCACATTTAAAATCTTTTGACACTGTTTTACACTGAGTTAAAAGGTGTTGTTGTTCTTTTTCATTATGAGGTTTAGAACATGGTGTACTAATGGTAATTTCTGCCTTTATTGTCACGAAAACTTCGTTGCTTACTGGGATGTGTCCTCGAAGAAAGGAATGGATTTCTTCTTCCTGTTTTGGTTCGACTTTAATGAGTGGTGTGTCATTACCTCCATCCATACCGAACAACAATGTTATAAAAAAATGTGTATATTTTGATATTAAACATCAATACAGAGCCAGATCTCAGAGCTTACTTTCTGAGTAAGAATTTGTTGAAAAAGAGTGACACCACGCCACCAGTAATTAATTAGGTGAGAAGAAGAAATCAATAAACAATGGGTGAGTTCACCACACGAGCGCCTTAGAGTGAGAGAGAATAGAGAGTTGTCGCAATCTTACGGTAACACTACAGTAAATATAGAAAACAGAAACATTGGAAGGAATAAGGGCAGAACGTTTGTACTGATCTTAACCCACCCCAGGCTCGAAGTGAAGATGACAGATTTCACGGCAAAGTGGCAACGTTGCAATCCGAGTATCAAAACACGGTTCCCGCTGAAAGTTCAAAAAGAATTGAGATGTCTATATCCCTTTAAATGCCCTGTACATTTCAACGTCGGATGCAACCGGTCAAGTAGTTGGAGATTCTGGGGACATGAGCCACCGCCATCACCACCTGTCGATATTTTTTTGGTAGCTTCCGGAGGATGTTTGGGGTTTTTTTTTTGTGGGCTTGGCGTCACATGAGCACTTGTTGTTTGTTAAAGCTTGTTGGTGGTGGGCTTATTGTATTTTAAGTTGTATAAATAGTTTAGCTTTGTTTTTGGTGTTTGTGAGTGCAATCACTTTGGTGTCGGGTAAAGTATTTTATGTAGTTTACTCTTATGTACTTATATGAATTGTGCCATTTGTTAAATCAGATATTTTCCAACCACCATTGTGCTAATACGTAATTTACAACATGCAAGGTGTTAACTATATCCATGTGCTTGTGGAAGTCTACAATATCTCAGGTTTAGGCCACGTTTACTCAGTTACACGGTGCAGGGGGGCGTACCTATGTCGAACCTCGACTTCCGTGAAGTAGGGCATGCAATGCTAGTTGTATTTATAGTTTAGGGTGACTCGTAACATTCGCGAATGTGTGTGCCTTGTTGTATGTAACTAATACCTTTCTACCGTGAGAGGGAGCTCGGACGCTAGAATAGAAAGGTGTTCTAGAGCTAAGGCATAAAAGGGTCCGAGGGCCCTCGAACCTCCAACTCTAGGGATGATGTGCTGTAACAAAGACCATCCTACACATGGGCGGCGCCCCATCTCTTAACCACCTTCAGTTTTGTGTCGTTACGAGACCGATGTCCGGGGAGTGTTACGAAGCACATGTAGTAGTTCCGGAAGTCTGGGGTTTATACCAATGTCATTGTGTGGAAACTGAGCATAATTGAGGGCCCCACAGGCACACTGAGTATGGTCATAACTGCCTATTGTTACGTCACAACATGAATAATAGATCAGACGTGTTCTTACAAACTTCACACCATCCTATTCGATATACAATGATACGAATAACTAGTAAGGTGACTTATATCAATAAATGCGTGAGTGTGTTGCCCCTAACAATCTTAACTGCGCTACGGGCTGATAGGCAAATATGCCGGCCCAATTCCTAACAATATAACCGTGAAACAGGAGGGCAATCAAGCTGAGACGCTGGCCCTAACCTAACAAATAACCAGGTTCACTGTCCAATGACTAACTAAAAGTGAGTTACCTTCTAGCCGCGATTAAAGAAAAGTACATGACATGTTGTGACGAATACTCTACGCATACTGTCCAAACGTACCCTGCTACTCGAATTCATTAATTAATTAAGGTAGTGTTACATGTTCTGCTTAGGTGGTTGGTGTTTTAATTTGCTTGTGATTAACATAGTTTGGGTTTTATTCACGGCCAAGGTTTTTCTCAAGTCGCACTCTTTTTCGCCTTGGTAGTCTGCTTTTGCGAGAGTGCGGCACCTTTAGGTTTTGCTTGCTTTGCTTTTAATGTACCACATCCAAATTCCGGGTTTTTCAGAATAAGTTTATAATAAATAAACTTGCAGACATTACAGTGTTTTATTTGAGTGTTCCTGCCCGACTGGGTCCCGAGTCACTGTATTGGCTTCGTGTAACGTAAGGGGGCCCTACCGTAGGCGATCCAATCACGTGCCATCCTTTTGTTTGAATTTTAGGCGGGAACCGTGCTTTGATACTGGGATTGCAACGTTGCCACTTTTCCGTGAAATCTGTCATTTCCATTTCGAGCCTGGGGTGGGTTAAGATCAGTACAGATTAGGAAAGAGTATGGATACCGCGTATGCCGTACAGCCCGTGTATGAATCGTGTTACCTTTTTAAACAAGTCCGCCATTTTATATGTGGCACATATGTCATTAAAGTAACTTTTTTTTATGAGTTTTTGCG